ATAAGAGAAAGTGCTTTCTGTGATACCCATTTTTTATTTTCGTGCTTTCTCTACAACATAATAATAGTAGAAATATTAATTTTTTGAACGTGACATTTTTATTACTATTTCTTCCGTTTATTTTTGTAAGAGCAGGTGCACTGGGTCAGTAGTAAGCACTGTGACACTGATTTTTTATTTCTGTGCTTTTCCTACTTCATTTCCTGCACGATGAAACTCTGCTGAGCGAAAGGACCGATGAAATGGGATGGAGGAATACGTAGAAACATGTATTTATGGGAAATAAATTTACTGGACTGGAATGAACAAGAAGATATGCTTATTGTTTATAACTTGCTGTATCAGATGATGTCCGACCGAGCAGAAACGGTGCTAAACTTATAACTAGCTTAACCTATCTTAATATATATCTCAATGCAATAGTCGATACTTTGTCGAGATTTAAAAAAGACTTTTCGAGTTCGGAGTATCTTAATATTTGGTATGCAGTACTACTTCCAAGTTCTTTGAAGAACCACACTAAGCTAAAAACATTGGAAAAATTATACCAATTACTAGCTCCCACAATGGTTTCCTAACTTTCTTGGTTCGTGGTTTCCTTTTGCTCATCGGTATTCCTCTTTCCCCTATTTTCTTCGTATGTTTCAAAAGTTTAAATTTATAAAAAATATACACAGACACGTGTATTTTACTTTTATACTTATAACCCTTCAATTTTTCCATTTCTTCCCTCGTGATCCAAAAATTCAGTATCGTATGACCTACTATGGTACAAGAAATCAAGTTATCCATCAAAAATAGCCACGGTATGGAATTACACGTGCTGCAATTCATCACACGATGATATAATAAATAATAAGTATATAAAAGTCCAAGTCTCGTTTCAAGCTTGCAGCGTAACCGCGATGGCGGCTATCTAGGTGTTAGAAATTTCACGATTATTCGCCGTGGGACTCGAGATTCCACTTATCCGACGATTTGCTATCGTACGGTCAATTTGTACGCGTCGACGATTTCAGTCTATAGAGCTTGCCACGGGACGTTCGCGTTTATCCAACGTGGTTGTTGGCTGAAACGCAGAAACGTTTACGTCGTACTTCCGGGGAACGGATGTAGGATGATTGTCACGTTTGATTGTACTTATATTCATCGCTAATAAAAGTTTGTTAATAATTCCTCAAGTGTACGCTACATATCGAGTGTTACCTAACACGCGAGAGTCACTACGAATTAAGATTGCAAAGATACCTAAAGAAATTATAAGACATTGTGAAACGTAAAGTCATCCTTTGACTTTATGTTCGAGTAACATCAAGCATCGAAGTCGTGTCAATGGTCCTAACAAATTTTCTATACAAATTTAGATAAGTAGATGGAATTGTTTAGAGGTTAAGAAATTCAAGATGGCCAATTTGTGTAATTTCTATGGAGGTAATAAATTGCATGTTAGTAAATAATGGCTGACATTCGAAAAAGAGAGTTAATCCTTTGCGCTCGACGATCTTTCTGGCTAAAGAAGGGTACGAGTTGAAAAATTTTGTGCTATTATGCTGATGATATTTTTTAAGTAATGAATAAGAAATCGTATGATAATTAATACGTAGAATTATTTAATTTCGATACTTCGCACACTGTTATATTATTTTAAATTTGACTTATTAATTAATATCGAGCTTTGAAATTTTATCAAATGGCGACTAGAGTGCAAAGGGTTAGTTAAAAGTAATTGGTGGATTAAGAAGAATTCATTATGATAAAGAGAACGAAGTTTGTAGCAAGGCTATTGAATAACATATGTTTCACGAGAGCTTATCGACATTTTCTTGCATGACATTCTTTTCACGACCTCTTGGTAAAGCTACAAGTTTCAATGTCACTGCGCGAAATACTGACAGGGTGACTAATTACCACATGCTGTTTGGTCCGTGCACTGGAGTCTAGCTAACATATTGACGCGAATAGCTGGTATAATAACAGAATTGGAACGCATGTGGCGTGCAAGTGCAAAAATAAAACCTATAGTGTGTTCAAGGCGAGCACCCGGAGCTCTTTTATGTAATTCGTGCACCGCGGTCATTTTTCTCGCCACTTTCTTCGTCTAAACACTTCGAAATACCTTCTTCCAAATTAATTCCGTATTTCAAGATCGGCGAAATGATTTCCAATTTTATTCCATCAATTCTACTTCGTTCAACTTGTTCCAGAAAAATTGAGAAAAATTATTTTCGTATTAAATACGTAGTAAAATAGAATAAAATAAATTCCATTTTATTGCGACGATCGCGAAGGAGGGGAATATCCAGTTGCATCCAACGATGCTTTTGTTTAACGATCGCTAAAGTGTTGAACCACAAATTCGAGAGATTGCAGCGGTGTGAAAGAAGGCTGGAAAGGGGAAAGCGAGCGTCGCTCGTTAAGAATCTTCCTGTTCCACTTCGACTGACGCCCCTTTTGTCCCTTAAATATACTTAGTTCCCCGTTTCGTGTGCCTTTTGTCTCGCCAAGTAGATAGAATTGTGACGGAGTCGTCGTTGAATCCGAATCAGGGACCAGGGACGTGGATTCGAGTCGAGAGGAGGGTAAATTACCCCTCGCGACGCGTCTGGCGATATCGGTTCGAAATTAGTCGTAATCGAAGTTAGGCGAACGTGTCGATGGGATTGCGGAGTATTTGGTGAATGAATCTGTTCAATTAAACGGCGATAAATCAATTAAGCTTCGGAGACGAAGAGCCTTCGTTCTGTGAGTGTTGGTTTTATATGCGTGAATGCAAATGAGGTTGAATAAGTGAAACTCATTTGCGATGATATAAATATAATATGCGCGAGTGCAGTCTAGCATGAATGATGTTTGAAAAAATGTTTAGGAAAATGTGCCAGAGTAAAACAGTTATGCGAGAATCGTCAAGGAGGAAACATGAGTATATTAATAAGAGTAGGAGAGAGAGAGGAGAATTTTCTAGAAAGTATTAATCAAATTTTTTTGTTTAAAACAGTTTATTGCGAATTGGTTTTATTATTTAAATATTTTTATCTAAATATAATATGTTAACTGTTGAAAAATATAGAAGATATTAGTGTCCATTTCTATACACACGTTCGATTGAAACATGACTTTCTTGGTAGTTCCAAGTTGGGTTTAATTTTAATACAGTTTGGTAGAAGCTTTGGTCGTTGGGAAGCTTCGAAATTTTTCTTGAAAATTTCCAAGGAAGAATAAATAAAAGAAAAATAGGAAATATTACGTATATTGAAAATACATCCGATTTTGACTGTAACTCGAGTTAATGTCATCTCCATAATAACTTGGGAAGAATTGCAGGTGTAATCATAAATTAAGATTCTAGAACCTCGTTTTCTAGATATGTTTCGAATTACTTTTCTTTCGCAACAATTTTCAGATTATCCTGTCAAACACGGAGACCAAAGTTCGAAGAGTATAGGAACCTAGAGAGTTCCAAGACGATTTTCCGAAGGCAAGGAATCCCAAATATCTTGGGAGCGAAATTTCATCGGGTTATTCGACCATGTCGCAAGCTGACGAAATGTTTCCTGATCAGATCTATCAATACTTTCTTCGCCTTCTTTTCCTTTCGAGAACTTCTGCGTGAAAAGTGGCCACGATCGAGCATCGAAGTTTGCCATCGGATCGTAACACGAGACGAGAATCCCTAAACTTCCTATTCAATTTTCGACCAAGTTCTGCGAAACACTTCGTCTTCCATCTTGCCGGGTAAATTAGGAGCTTCGTGTGGTCTTCGAGTCTTGGTAATAATCGCTTTAACTCGATGGTGGTATCTTTAACGACGAAGTCATTATTGTCGAGGAACCCAATATCTGAATTAGAATCGCGATTCGATGCTAACGATAAATGAAGAAGACGAGAAATTAGCGAATGAACGAGAATATAGTAAATTTTTATTAGATTTTTCATTTCTTGATTTGTATTTACATTGTTATTATTTGATTACTATTATATCAAATAATACTAATAAATTTGGTAATTTAATTATTCTCAGACTTTCCCACGTGGTTTATATATTACCGAGATATATAATACATTTCAAATGAATAATTTTGTGCAAAAAACAACAAAATATTCGATGGACTTTTCCATATTTCAAGTTTGACGAAATAGCAAGGCGACTTTGGGCTTTTAAAATAAAATACATTTTTGAGTATTTTAAATAGCACCGTACACTTCTCAGATTTTTATACAGCATCACATATTCTTTTCACCATTGCTTTGCACCTGATAAATACAGTACATTTCGTGTAAAGTATTTTTAAACGAATAAATATCTTATTACTTTGGATAACAGTTCTCGTCGACATACTTTGTATATCTTTTTCAACCACGCAACCATTGCTTAGAAAATTGACAAAATTTAAAAAGAACTTTGAAAATTTACGATATATAGAAAATATCTTAAAGATGGTGTTCTTTGCTTAGTATCTTGGTTTTCCAAAAATCATTCTTTGGAAAACGACACCAATTACCAGGTCTCACCACGTGAAGGTGTCTACGCATAGAGACCCTGGTCTTAGCAGCCATATTATAAATTTATATTTTCAGAAATTTGTTATTAACAATATTTATTTGTCAATGCTTTACAAAATTTATTTAATGGATATCACAGATTAGAGAAAAATTTAAAATTTCCTGAAGCGTTATCCGTAAATCATTTTTATTTAATTAAACTATTAAAAAATCGGTGATTTTTCGTCGAAAGCGAGATTCGAGTAATCAAATTGCGTAACACCAAAATTCGAATGACATATCGTAGAAATCTCAAGAAGGTTTCAACAGGATTATTAAATTTCGCTCGGAACAAGCAAGTTTTCGCAGCCCCAAGAAAGAGATAAGGTTCTCGTCAGGAATTCTGAAACTCTCGTTTGGGAAACTACGGCGAAAAGCGACGATAGATATCGATTTTCAATTAGAATCTGCCGCCTTGTCGATAGTTTGCTAACTTCTTTTCGTTTTCTTTCTTTTTCTAGTTTCGATTCTTTGCACGCGACCCTTACGTTCAGGGGATGTTTAAGTGACCCGCCGTCCCGGATTAAACGGTAATTTATTTCTTCGATACTATCTCTTGCTTTTACTTTGTGTACCGTCGTTACACTAACAACTTCCTTTTCTACTTTTCCATTAAGCGAAACAAAAATCTGCTTCTCCGTTGCTAACATCAATTTTTCCACCACGTGCGACTAACGCTTACTTTCGCCATTGCGCTTTCTAACAACTTAAATGAAAGCTAAATTTTATTTCCAATTTCGCCACTAATTAATTACGTTTATTTTTATTACTGGTACCAGAGATGCAACGAATGGTAAAATTTTGGAAATATTTCCATTCTAAAACAAGGAGTGACAGCGATATAGTGTCGTACAAGGAACACTATATCACACAGTGAAGAGAAAATTCTGATACTTTAAATAGAAATTACAATATTTTGGATTTTGTTAAAAATTTCGTTACTAATTTCTTCACGGTAATCAGAAAAGTAATTAAGGGTAGAATTTTGGAAATATTGCAAGTCTTAAACGACAAACGAGCGTGATGTAAATCGAGCCAACGTAGAGAACAGAGAATTCTGAAGTTTAACTTGATGTTTAGCCACGTTAAATATGATCGATCCACGTCGACAAACACTTTGCTCGTCCTTTGGTCTCCTTTGGTGTTCACTGACATAAAGCTTTATTGCAGACTTGATATTTATCTCTGTCCGGGAAGAGAAAGGAGAAAATAGAGTTATAATCGTTGATCGGGTACAAAATTAATTAATATTTCAACATCTCAAGAAGGACCAAACCAAGCTTTTATTAATACCGAATGTCAATATTGTTCCATTATCTTAATAAATAAATAATATATCAGAGGTCTCAAAGTGTCGAATATATTCTCAAATTTGTATTAAACGATCGTGGAATTAATTGCGAAATATTTTATAAATGTACTCTCGGTTTGATCGAAATGGCTATTTGTGATAATGGATAATATAATATAATGGAAATAACTTCGAAGTAATTAATCACCGGAATAATGAAATATTAACGAGCAGAGTTAGTATCTACATAGGATTGCTCGTGATAAATCTATCGTAGGAATGACAGACATGATTTCTCTCCGAAATCGAGCTGAGACGCGTTGCAAAACGTTACTCATTGTTTCCTGTCTCGTCTTTCATACAAATACAATAACCTGACTTGCAACGAAGCTGCTACAACTCCAATATCGACTCCGACGATCTCTATTCATAAATCCTGGACGTCCCCGTATCGAAGGCCCTTCATTTTAATTTTACCTTTGATATCTGCAAAATTTAATTGTCCTCGTGTCGAGTCGAATAAGATTGGATCTTTTTAAAATATTCTAGACTAGTGATCGAAACGTCTAATCGAGAAATGCCATTGCCCGATTGAACGAGAAATATCAGACCGTCTTACAAATTCTAGTAAGTAAATAATTTATTTTATGCACTTTGCGATATATTTATTACCTTTGCTTGCATATAACAGGAAATAAGCGTTACTAAAATATTTTCTGATGGGGATAAGAAGTGGATTTGACGAGCAACTCGTAATGAAAATGGTGCTGGGTCAAAGAAGAAGATTTTTCATACTATTACAGAGAAACTTCTATTTCCTATTTCGAGTTTTTCTCGAGAAACGAAATTAATTAGTTGAGAAATTAGGCAGACGTACTTATATCATGTTTCATTGAAGAGGTTAAAGATCAAAGATCAATAGGAATACTAGAAATTCTGAAATTGAAAGAGAGTAACGTTTGAACCATTTGACCATCGTCAACTGGAAAACGTGCACCGTTAATCTCTAACAGCGAACGCAATTTACCTGCGCCATTTTGATTGAGAGCTTTCGAAGCCTTGGGAAAGCAGCTTCCTCTTTTATCTATAGCGTGTAATAAATCTTTATTCCACGTTTCTTCGTTGCTGTTAAAATTCTGCCCTTGCCAGTAGCCTGTACAAGAACTTCCGAAAAACAATCGTTAAAAATACCGCATTCGGTTTAATTTCCATTAATTATTAATTATACAAATTCGCTAATGAAAATATTAATTAAGCGAAATTAATATCCAATCGTCTGTCGCAATTGCTCAACCACCAAGATGCAGATATTTGTACGATTGTATCTCAATATCTACGAATTTTTAATCGTGCAATTTGGAATTATTAAAATCATCTAAAATTCTAATTATATTTAACAAAGTCCTTTTCCACCTCACGAGGCACTATACTGAATTGTTAGTCGCTAATTTTGGTGAAACTTTGGACAATTGTACAGTAACCGAAATTATTAAACGTTATTTCCCTTTTATCTATCACCCTCCCTATCGAGGGGGTGAAATTCGACTCCAAAGCAGTGGTGAAACATATCCGGTCAAATATTTGGCGAACTACCGAGCCAGAGCAATGGTGTCAATTTTCCAGACACGCGATATCATCTATCCAAGCAATAAATGAAATAATTGCCTTTTTAAATTAATTTCTTTGATCAAATGTTTACGTATTTTCTTCCATATGTCTACACGAGGTGCGTATGCACATACCTGAATACAATTTAATTGAGTAAATCAAAATTTCGATCGTTCAAAATTTAAGGAAAATCGGCGATTGAACTTCGACGTGGTCCCTAGTCAGATCTCTTAATCCAATTTCGCCTAATCGTAAGATCGACGAAGCATCGAGTAATAACGTGTCGCGAATCGTTTGGTCACAGATGCCTGGGAACACGACAGTAGGCAGCACCCTCTTGGACGAGGAACTTCGTCGTATCCTGATGGAAAGGGAGCAGGAATATTTCTTCCAACTTTCTTCATGCATATCAATCTCTTAGCGAATTCCTGGGACCTCGCCTTCGGGAATTTGATTACATCTAAACGACACGCGACCAGATTTACCGGCGAGTCAGGGCGAGGAAATATTGCGAGTAATAATCGAAGGAAAAATGTGTAAATATCGCACGTGGTGCGTGTGTTCACCGAGGACACGAATTTTAAAGCGACGAGGTACGTGGCAATGCAATAACTCTGAGCCACACTCCGTATACTTTCCTCCTATTTTTATTTTCTATTTCTGAACTAGATTCGCGTATTTCCGTGTTTATCCGGCAAGCCTGTAAATATGTTTGGCCTCTTGAGAAAGAAGGAGAAAACGCGTCGCGAAATTTTGATCCTGAAACACTAGGCCTCGAGATTTCCTATTTTCACGAGATTTTCTTGCGCCATATCGATCTTTTTGAATAAAGAAGTATAATACGCGGAACTTGCGTGAGATTTCTGGATATTATTTCAAAGCCAGGTAAACCAGAGCCGCAGTACGAGATCGATTATGACAATCTAGGTAACTAAAACTACGATACAGTTGAAACAGAAATTCCAGTTACTTCTCACGAATACATTTATCAGATATTCGAGTATGGTACAAAAATTACAGAATTATTTATGTGTCATTGTACATCTGTCTCAGGAGGTAAAAGGATCGAGATAAATGTGGCAGCTTCGTAGAATTTGCTAAATTGTCACGTTATAAATTATACTTAAAATGATTCACACTTATATAACACTCAGTGCACTCGTAGACACGTACTTTAATACTAAAATGTTAAAATACGCTCACTTCTTCTTCTTCGACTCGTGGGGTTGATTTCCCTTCTTGGTGCACGATTTGCACCCGAGGAGATAGTTCTTCAGCTTGCAGACCAGGAAAACGGAGACGCCTAGAATTAGCAGCAAGCAGGCGAGTAAGAACCCATAAACGTCCAAGAGATTCCGTTGCCACCAGGTGAGGTCGATGACTGGCGACCGCAAGAAGTACCCATTTCTGGCCACGTATTCTATCCAGTAGATGGCAGTGTCTATAGCGCTCATGGGTCTGTCCTTGAATAGCTGTGATACTTTCTTAATATTCGACCTGAAAATCCACGAGTTCGAGACATTGAGGTAAACCGACGTGGAGAGATGATTGAGAGTAACGAGAGGTAGTTATGCGAAAGAAATCCATAATCTACTATTATAGAAAATAAATGGTAGAATGGAAACGATGGAAGATAGTTGCGAGAATAGAATGAAAAGGACGGTGAAACGAGTTGGGAGTTGGTAGAATTGCACTAATGTGGGATAATTGTAGCAGAAATGGGAAACTGAAAATAAATGACACAGAAATTTACAGTAATCGTGAGTGGGGCTGGATAGATATGAGAAATGGTGGAAAATGGAACAAGATGGCGTCAGAGTACAGAGTGAAAGTAACATAAACGCGCAGTGACGACGTTTAAAAAAATAGTATATAAATATATATATTCTATAAAGAATATTCCTTATACTTTATTATTTTTATACTTTATACTATACTATAAAGAATATATAGTAATAGCAATAGAAATAAATAGTCATTAATGGTGGAGGAACGAAACGAAGTAGAGAGATACATAATAATCGCAATAAGGATAGATAATTACAACAAGTGGAGTAAGAACGAAACAAAATGGCGTAGGAATACATATTAATTGCAATAAGGGCGGATAGTTATAACAAGTGGAGTAAGAACGGAACAAAATGGCGCAGAAATACATAATAATCGCAATAAGGATGGACAGTTAAAAGTGGAGTAAGAACGAAACAAAATGGCGCAGGAATACATAATAATCGCAATAAGGACGGATAGTTACAACAAGTGGAGGAAGAACGAAACAAAATGGCGCAGGAATACATAATAATCGAGGTAGCGAGAGTAATTACGGTAAGAGAAGAAAAGATAAGGCAAAATGGAGTGGATAAGCGTAGAATTGCAATGACGAGAGATAGTTATCCCAATGGGAGAGCGGTAATGATGGAAGCTGCGAAAAAACAGCAAATGGCGTACGCAAAATGGAAGAGTAGATATCGTGGGAAAGAATGTGGAAATGATAAGACGGGAAAATTGGAAGGTAACAGGGAAGGACTAATAAAATACGCTCTACTTGAGACTGTAAAATTAATTGGAAAGTAGGAAGCTCGAAGAGATGAGATAAATACTGCTGTGTAAATCAGAAGCTTGAACACTTGCGAATTTATGAATTCCGCGATATCTCAGAGTTCCTAATTTTAGAAACGCATAAAGGAAGGCGAACATGCATGTGTATGAACGCTAGCTTTGCTGAATTCGAGAAAATCCAGCGAAAAGTTTGGTCAATATTGAAGCATTTCCATGACACCGTTTTCGATCACGTTAGAAATTTCTTCAGAATTTGAGTTATCAATGAAAGCACACGTACCTGTACGTTTCGTCGTGCAAGATCGCGTCAATTGCATTGTACAAGTTCTCCTCGTTGACATTATCAATGGACTCAAGATTCACTGCAATCTTCATATTAGCTGCTCTTTTAAGATTCGTGTGTTGATCGCCGAATAGGGGAATTCCGATCATGGGGATTCCAAAATGGATCGCTTCTAGCGAGCCCATGAGACCCCCATGCGTGATGAACGCTTTAACATTTTTGTGCTCTGAAAGTGAAACAAAAATTTCCTTCTCTTCCCGTGTAAGTATTGAAAGCTCTAAATTAAAGGAACAGATAACGAATCCACGCGATTTGTAACTAATACGAGATAAGTGTAATCGATCACGATCTCAGAGAGATCGTAGAAGGAAGATAAAACATATTGCGGACATCTTATCAAATATCTGATCGACGATACAAGAAATTATTTAATTACGTACTGAAAACAGACACTTGAGAGTACCAGGGTTGTATCATGACGTTCTTCGGCAATCCAGGAAGCAGATCCTCCTTTTTAACGACCTTCATTAGCACTCGAACAGGCGCAATCCTTTCGAAAGCTTTGTAGAGGCTTTCTAGGAATGGTTTAGGGAACGTCTCGATCTTCACCATCGATCCGAACGTGAAGAAAATGCATCCGTGAGTACTCTCGTCTAGCCACTTCTTCACTTCCTGTTGGTCCAACGTGAATGCATAAGGATACTTATCCTTGAGTCGTAATCGATTCTTTCGACGTTCGAATTGTTAACAACGAAATATTTAGGTTTAGGGGGAAAGAAGAAGAAGATCGGGAACCGATTGACGCTTTGAATTAAATAAAATAAGTTTTTAGTCGCAAAAGAAGGGATAGTATTATAATTCGTATGTGGCGAATTGAGTGCTAGTTGCGTGCCTGTAGAGCACAAGGTCTTTTTTGTAACTTCGTGTGCATTGCGGTAATTACACGTTGAGTCATAATCTTGATCAATCATCTTAATAGTGCTCCAAGATTATTACACTTTGGATTGCGTATTTTGTCTGTCGTTGTAATTTTTCTGCATTTCCTTTCTAAATCAAGAAGGTTCGAGCACACCTGAACGAGCTCGTTTTGCAATTTTATATAAATTTCCCGAGATCCACGAGGATCTCCGTTGACGATTGATTCATCTCGCGAACAAACAGATTTTCCAGGGTAATAGATACGATTTATCTCGCAAATTTTGAAATATCGAAGTCGCTGTAACCTCCCACGCGATTGTAAATCCTTGTATTAAATTTCAAATACGTAACTTCTAGAAATAATTCTAGAATATTATTACGAACATCACTTTCATAATTTTAGAATTCAGTTAATCAGAAAATCATTATAAGTCCTAGGTAAATTCCAGATTTCTTGCAATTATTTTTCTTTGCACCCTGTTGCCATGAACCTTCCCACAAATATTAACACATTATATATCTAGGAAATATTAACGCAATATTAACCCTTTGCACTCGGTGATTATTTTCGTTGCAGAGGAATTGGGTATAAATTAAATAAGGAATCGGGTATAAATTAAGACTTAAAATTATTTTATTTCGACATTCCATCCAATCTTTGGTTATTTTAAATTTCATATGTTAATTAACATGGATCTTCGGAATTTGATTAAACGGTGACTTAGGTTTGCCTCTCGAGTGCAAAGGGTTAACAAAACACACGGAACCTCTTTTACATTAGTACTCCAAACATTGATCAAATAAATCCCTCCCCCTTCCCCCCAAAAATAAATTATTCACTCACCGGTGACAAGGGTGACGAATTCTCGTTGACGTGTAAGCCACCGACCTCGATGACAGCAGAAGTCGTCGGATTGATCCCGCCAATACTATGATGCGTGTTCACCAAAATGGCTCCGATATCCTGATACAGATCGTCGATCACGACGTCCATGCCCAAGTATTTCTTCACGTAAGCGTCCTGGTAGCTGAGGTAGTACTTCATCTTCCATGTTATCATGTTCGTTAGCAAGGTATTCTGTAGCCTCTCCCAGAAAGTCATACGCTGGCTGAACGGCGCGAAAAGACAAGGCATGTAGGAGGGATTATGCGGATTTCCTGTCACACTGCTCAGCCAGTCGTGGAAACCGGATGTCATTACTCCGACTATGGGTGCTTTTAGGTGACGACTGAACGCCAGGTAACATGGCATCATGAACAGCTGGAAAAAATATGCGAAATCATTCCGATTATCGATTGTTTCCCGTCGTTCTTGAGACGAGAACAATTTGCATCGCAGGTTCAAAGAATAAGGTGATACGGGGTAGTTAGGTGTTAGGTTTTTCGCTGATGGGCTGACGGATGGATCGGGAGATCGATCCTTGGGTGGGTTTGAAATTACCGTGAATTGGGATAGGTACTTTGGGGAAATTTGTGGGAAATTTGTTCGATGCGGTTATCCGGGGGTGGGTCCAAGTCTGTCGCTTCGCGGGGGTGTATTTGTCGCGCGGTTTCAGGGAGGATTTGAGCGTTGCGAAGTGGTGACTAGAATTTGTAATAATTCCGTGGATGTAGTATACGTCGATAACAATAATTAAAGAAGTATGACAATAATAAATATAGATGTTACTGTGAAAGTCAGAAGATACTTTTTCAATTAAAGTTAACATTAATTTTTCCAAGAAACAGCTATAACGAATATATGGTGGATTTTCGATAATTCCAAAAGAATCTAATATCTAATATCAGTCACTTTGATTAATTCAGTACTCCTCTTATTGTCTGCGAATATTCCAAATTTTTGGCACCAATAAATCGCGTTTAATCGATCCGAGAATTTTTATTTCTAAGAATTTTTATCTTCAAGAATTCCGATTTAATTCCGTCAACATCGAGATGTCTTCAAACGTTAGCGCAAGTGTTAAACGAATAGCACGTTACGAACAAATACGAATCTTAATTTTGTTTAAAGGAAATGACATTGAGTAGTATGTGAACACACGGTAGATAAATTCGCGAAGATAAATGTTCGTGCAGCGTCATTGACGATGACACAGTGTATATCTTCCATATGGTGTATCAATATTCGTTCCTTGGGGAAATGACAGTGGTTCTCAAATCTGTGGTTCTCGAAAAGCATGAAACTGTAGAAAAATAAAAATTCGAAAAATTGTATCGCAAAGGAGAACAAGCAGTGTATTAAATTGAAGCATAAGCTCGATTAAAGGAAATTGCACTGCGATAACAAGAGGGAGAGGCACAATAGTAATTCCGAAATTAATTAATTAATTAATTTAATTTACGGGAAACCCATCGACGAGTTGGAATAGTTGTACCTGTTTATAATTACATTATCATCCTTTGTTTTACATCAAACTTTCTCATTACACCCTTTGAGTAATTATAAATTGGATCAATGTTCTAATCGAATCGATCCAATTAAGCTTCGTCTCGTCCTTTGAGCTTTTCTCTTCGAATAATTTAGCAAACTGACGGTGTATCGAAGTTTTAAGGATTTTCTGATAATTCTTTCAGAACCTCGTTAAAAATTCGCATACGAGTGACAGCGAAAATTGACATAAAAAATGCCATTTTTAATAAAAGCAGATATTTATGTATTATCAGAGAACATGCTCTGCTCTTATAACTGTCGTATCATTTTCGTAACGATTGTATATGCTTCATCAGGAAATGATACATCGCAACAGCCCTGATAAGAAAAGTAACAATTAATAATGCCAGCGATGCTTATCAACTCTTCACGTGTCAAAATTAAGTTACGTTGGATACGAGAATTTCTGTTAATCATCGTTCGTTATTCCTGCCACGGAACACTAATTCATAAACGCTACAATGTATCAGAGTATTTGTCACATTTTATTACGTAACGCTTTAAGCGACTTCGAGTGTGCACTGCTTTCTTACCAGTGGAACATTTAATTACACTGGATGAAATAACCGCTCGAGAACCACTGTTTCCCAATCTAGCTTCTCGCGGATGTTCGTGGCGGAATTTTTGCTTCGTTAAAGGGGGCTTTAAATAAGAAATTCGATTAAAAGGAAACTGATAGAAGAGAAATATCGTTTGTAAAATTCAACTTCCGATTTCTTTTCAGCAAAATCCACTTGAAAATCAATTTTTCAATTACATCGAAGAGAATTTTACCAAAGAAAAGACATCGAGTCACTGAAATATCGACACGTTTTCGAAAAACACCCCTAAGAGAACTTGGTAAGAGTATAATTCTAATTTTTCGTATAGCAGAAATTCATTTATCATCGTAAAATTCTTCATCGAAACTTGTCATAAATATTTTTAACCTCGTTTCCTCGATGTTAAATAATTTATGGGGGAAAAGTTGTATATATGTAGGATACTATTTCGCAAAGAAATCGCGAATCGGCCATTGCTAATAAAATTATAAACCGATCGATATTTTCTAAAAGCAAATGGAAAAGTTATTTTGGGTAACAAAATTAAGTTGCACGGTCCCTACGAGGAGGTGAAGCGTAGGTTAAGAAAAGCATAAAAGCAGGGTCCTTGACGAGCAGAACGGAGTTCTTAGAAATTAATTGTGACCGGCACGAGCGTGAGTCGCTCGGTGTTGGAAAGAGACTTAAATTAGAGTGCGTCTTTGTGTGTTCTCGTTGCGTTATCTTGGTGTTTTTCTCCCAAGTTAAATTAGTTTTATGAGTTTGTGTTATTCTGTTCCTGTTATTCTATCAGTTTTTGGTGTCTCGAAACCAGTTTTCGTCATCTTACGTATATAAAACTGGAAAGCGAAAAGTTAAAAGCGAGTCCTCAAGAATTTTTCGGATTGAGACGAAAGAACTTTAAATCTTTGGGACCTACCTCGAGTACGATGACATCGTACTGCTTCTTAGGTGAATTCTTTATCAAGCTTTGCAATTTCGGATGGCCCATTAGTTGACAGATCTGGTCACCGGCCATATACGTCAGAAGTTTCAGGTCGTTGCTTTTTATGCTCGTCACGTTGCTCGCGTTTAAATTGTTTACCACCGAAGGCAAGCTCCCTTCCAGAGAGATTTGATTGTAATTCAGCGGCGGATTCTTCAGAGGAAAATGAGTAACGACGTCCACTTCGTGGCCCCGTTCCGCCAAGCTCACCATCAGTCGTTCCGCCATGACCCAGTGACTCTTTCCATTTAGCGGAAATAAGCCAAGAATTCGCAAGCCGTCGCACCAGCCACATACCGATAACGCCAAAAGAATCGACAACAGGAGTTTCATCCCGTCGAATTTTTACAACTCTTTAACTATAAACTGAGCCTTTAATCTTGACGATTCCCCGAGATTTCACACGCGTTAGTCTCCCGATCGAGAGATTTCGTATCTGCCGAAAATTCGAGGGAAGCCTCTTAAATATCTCTTCGCTCGGGTGATGTCAGTCCCAAAGGAAAAGAGAAAGGAAAAATAAAGTCGAAGAAAGAGGTGAACGAAAGTACACTTGTTCTCACGAGAGAGAGTTATCAAGCCATGCCTTGTTCGGCGTTTGACACTGCTCCGAATGGAGTGCGAGGTGCTACTGTGCTACCAGGGTCGAATCGCGTATGTTTATGGGATTAGATGAGGCGATGGTCGAAGTGGGATAACGCGTGGCGTTGTGCTTTTCTCCGATTTGCTTTACGATCAATCAGCACTCACGAGAGTGATGAAATCGTGACGTGTTCACGAATTCAGGTATCTCTGCAGGCGACTTGTCGGGGTATTGCATCAGTCTGGAATGACTGAACTACCTGTCTCAACTGTTCCAGTTATGGGATGTGGAAGTTATTCGTAAGAACGTGATCAATAACAGAGATGCTTCGAGGACCCTTTAGTAGATCCAGCGATGAATACCGTGTTATGACATGAAATGGAATTATGTATATGTTTCTATTGGAATTGCAAATATTTACATGCTTCCTTCAGTTGGCTAGACTATTTATTTCTCGATTAATAAACACTAGCGATCAATTAACATCTTGCTATAACGTGTTATACAAGTATGAAGATATTAATGAGGTTGCTGGAATATGGATCACCGACTCGAATCGTCGGACAAGGTCTCGAAGGATCAATCGTTTATTAAAATCACTTTTCACGAATGGGACACTGAATCGACGTAGATGTGAACGATCAATTATCACGGCTACTGTGATTTAAAATAATTTCACGAACAAATGATGAATTGGTAGAGCTGATTGTGCAACTCTTTGGACAAAGTCACGTATGACGGAGGTCAACGTACTATCAACTGGCGAATCTTTTTCCTCGATGATGTTCACTTTATCGTTAAAATCCTGTTTTATGGTGCAATGCGCGTAGATCACACGTCATTTATCCTTGTCCGGGAAAATTATGAACGAACGGATGATGCAAAGCTACACTCCGGCTGTGGTGTCCGTGGAAGACAGAGGAAGACTGATGTGTGAATCTGTTTCTCGAGATATTCGAGGGCACGAATTCTATTTGTGAAGTGGAAAGGCAGGAGCGTTCGAACAGGATGGACATAAGAGGTCCTAAATTTTTTTTTTGGATTATAATTTTCTGTGTAACCATTTAGAATTGGACTTAATATCAAACCTACTGTAACGTAAAATACCGTTTTTTACACTTTTGAAAAATTGAAAATTCTGCATTCCATGTTACTTTTCTTATAAAATATAGGGAATATACGTTAGGATCGATTTCTTACTATTTATTTTCTCATTACGCTGTTTTACGATGTGACAAGTAAGATATCGTACGGATGACTAACTCATCAAATTTGAGCTTCAATTGTGGAAAAATTATGTCAAAATTTATAACCCGTGGAAGATATGGTATATAGTATTAGGATATTTATTATCATTTTCTAAATGTACAAAGTTCACGGGTATTGTTTATCTTTTATTCGCTATATCTGTATAAAATTCGAAGGAAAAATTATTTTACCGTTGTATTTGGAAATTAATATTATGATAAGCGCGTACGTAATATTTGGCTACAGATGAGTGAGTTTGCTTAAGCAGATAGAATTAAAATTGGATACGACAGATTGCTCCGATTGCGTGAAAGATATAAACTTGTAAAGATAAAGAGTGCTAATTAGATACCATGAGTTGCACAAAGTCGACTTATTAAGAGTATGAAAACGGTTCGTTATTTTATTCGAGGAATCTACGAGGCGAAATATTTGTATCGTTTAGTTGTGGAACAGAAGAAATACCAGATTTTACGTAACCTAGAACGATGTGCGAAATGTCGAGTCTGCTAATAGATTAAATTTGTATACGGCTGAAAATAAAAGGACGAGGCACGAATATTTGAAGAGAATGAATTCGGGAGATTATCGACTACCATAAACCGGTTCCTTCTCTGTAAACCAAGGTCTTCCTGTATCCCATGGTGTCCGAAATCTGTAGTCAATTCTCTGCGAACATCAATAAGGCGCAAAGAATCTGAAGAAACACGTAGAAACGCAATTTTATAAATACATATTTTCGGTTTTAATTTTAAATTAAAACTCGTTTCTTAATAATTATCAATTTACATTTTCCCCCATATACACGTGTACGTCCGCATATATAAATTAAAAATAAATAAACGTATCGATTGAAAATGTTATAATAAAAATAAGATAAATATTATAAAAGTCGATTTATCGCAAGGAAAATTTTGATTTCTTATTTTTCGCACCAGATCTAACTATGTGATTCAATTTCTAGTTCTGATATTGAAAATAACAGACGTGTTTCTCGTAGATTATCTGGTGTATCTATGATTAGATACCATATCTGTTCGACGTTTATTTATCATGCTGACATGTCAACACGATGTTCGCTCGATGAAATTAAGTATTTCTTCTCATAATAGTTACTCCTGTACGAGTCTGTCACTCGTACTTCATACTCTGTTTACTCGTGAAAGCAACCTACTTTTATATTTTGCTTTGGCACTGTCTGTCATTAAGCCGTGATGTGGCACGTAACGTGTCTTGTATCACTTTGTGTACCTTATCCTTTGTGTAATAACCGACAGGAAGTATCGGTTACTCCAATCTACTAGATTTAATTTTTGTGCTTTCAAAATGTCATGGCTTCGCAGATTTATTGGTATATTTACAGTTGGTAAAGAGTGCCGCGTTATTAGGCATTATTAAATCTTTACTCGTGGCTTATACTTCACGCATTGGTGCAACCAGTTTACCAATTGTCATCGTGAGACAGAACTTCTGTACAAGGAAAGATCATTTCAGTCGAAGAGTTTTGCAAAATCTGATTCGTCTACAATCAATCACAAGTGGACTCTTTTTAACCGTTTATAAATTCGATATAGATGACAAAGATATAGTTATATTTTTCAAAATATCTGATAAGATATCTTTGACATTTTTGTAGATTTATAAAATATCCACCTCCAATCGCAGATACTTCTATAATTTTGTATCGACCAAATGAATGTTCCTGCTATCACCTTATTTGCTGATATCGAATTTTTATTTTAGACTAAAAGGTTCTTCAATGGACTTCGAGTTCCTAGATAGATTTAATAGATTCACATAAATCCTTAATATGTCTCAATGACAGATTTAATAATTAATTAATCTGATTAATTCTACCGGTTAAACCACGTTATCACACTTACTTTCTTTGGAAATGATTAATCAGGTCACGTATCAAACTCTGACTCGTGATTTACCCATTCATTTCTTATTTTCCTTGTAGACTTTAAGAATTCCTCTAGATAATGTTTACTACAATACAGAAGCTAACCTAATCTTCTTATAAATAAGACGAAAATAATTAGACACTGTATATCCAAATCCCGTATTCGTCACGATCTACCTATCAACTAGATAGCCTCCATCTACCCAACAGTTACGTTTAATCATCAGCGAAGTCTACTTAATGCAACGTAGTTAGCTCAACTAGGTCATCATTTTCCGAATCTGATTTTCATATAGCAAGAATATCGTAGACATTCCGAAAATACTGCGAAATTTAAACTACCCTGGCCTAGTTTAAGGCTATCCCTAGCCTAGTTTAACACTAGGTTTACGGACGCTATCTGTATACCTATTTCTAAGGACACCTGTCAAATTGACAGGTAAAGGAAACCACGTGCCATTTTCTTTTTAACGATTAGTTTAATTTGAAAACAATTATATATTATATTAACAGTCTTAATATAAGTTAACTAAATCTGTTACTATCGTATAATTGGATCAATCCTTCCGTCAAATTGACGGGTTCCGTAAATCTAGCTACCCCAAGCCTATTTAAAATACCCGACTAACGAAAAATTCATCTATCCTTTCTTATCCTTTATTCCATGCTTCGAATATTCTCCGTTGTTTCCACTCCCGTGTATATAATAGACAAATTTTCGATCGATCGAGGAACTTCTATTGGAAAAATGGCACACTTCGGTTCTATCGTTCCACGTCTCACGGATCAGCCGTCTCGAGTCTTCTTCCCAAAAGATTCGCGAGCCATGTTGCCCCTCCATTTCTATATTCCACTTCGAGTTGTTCGTCGATCCGATCGATGGATCGACGTGGCTGTGGGACGCGCCACGGGTTCCACGTCGACTCGATCGCGCTGAAGGACCTAAATCCAAACGCGATTTGTGGCTTCAGGCGTGAGAATTTATGGCGGTAACTAACTCTCGCGGATGTCCTATTGGAGGTTTCCGGGCTGCTCGCGTTTTATTTCCTCCGTGAGTAGTTTACTCGATTATCGAGCAATTTTCCTGGATACGCGTGTTCGCGACGGATGTCAGTGACAACCACGTGTTAGAATCGATCTCGTTCTCGCAATTAGCGAAATTAGGTGCAGAGAGTGATTGGAATTTGGAATCGATTCGGTGGAACGAAATTTGATACGCGTTTTAATTGAACCATGGTAACGGTGATCGTCGCATATGGATCGTGTTATTTGTTTACTTTTTTTCGGTATTTTTGAAACATTCATGGGATTTTATACTCTTCGTCCGAGTAATTGTGAGATACCTTGTGAAATTAATAAAAGGCTTGAATGTGTATCGTTTTAATTTCCTTTAACTGTATCAACGTTATTCTACTTGCTGATAGTAATTCAATCTCGAATTATCTGCTATTTTCCTTGTAAATTATCGTGCGGTATCTGGAAGATATTGGTAAACAGTAACCAATGTGCGGTTGTTGCCTTGTAAACAAGAATCTTACACTAGTCATGAAAGATAGAAGAAATTTCTTGTTTCTTGGTATCAAGGACAATTGTTGTCCGATAAAGATAGCAATTTTTGTGCTCGTAATGTTTTATAATATTCTTATAATGTTCTTCACTCGATGGAACAAAAATTCTAAATTATTACGAGAATATGATAATCCTCGTACGGTAAATCAAAATATATTTACATATATATACTACAGAGAACAGATAAAATTGTTTATTAACAAATAAGGAGGTTCAACATCATAGTACATTATTTTTATTGACCAACGATGTGCAAATTGCGAATTTCTGCGAGCAGAAATGCAGGAAAGGACGCGCACCATCGATAAAAATGTTTATTTTCAACGTTGCGTGTTGTTGTTGATTTTTCGAGCGTACTCGGCCATAACACGGAAATACTGAAACGCAAAAACGTATTTGACATGATGTCTGTCAGAGGTGAAAGTGTATCTGATACGTCACATTGTACTTGCACGCTTCTAATAACAAAACGCGAGAATTGATTTTAATTTTTAAACGGATAAACATTAAGTGCAATTAAATATAAATTAAAAATACATAATTCGTTAATCTAGGACATAATTGTCGTTACAATGAACGTTACTCGTCGATACGTCGTTTGTTTAATTTACCTTTACTTCGATAAAAGTGGATCCAGCGATAAAATCGAGGAGAAGCGAATCGACATTTCACATCATCAACTCAACATAAAGTAGGGGAAAGAAAGTAGTTATGAAACCTTCTTCTTGCGCGGAACAGTGGAACCTGTGTAAGCTACGTAGAACACAAATTGCACCAAAGTCGCTATAAGATAAGTCACCGCGAGCGCCGCCACTAGGAGAAATACGTAAACATCCACCAAATACAATTGCCACCATGTTAAGTCCATCGCTGGCGATCTGAGGACATTTGCACCGTGTCTTGCAATGTATTCGACCCAATAAACCGCGGTCTCCTCTGCGCTTAATGGTCGATCCAGGAACCTTCTCGACAATTTCCGTGCTGCGTTTCTGAAATGAAAATACGCGTGAAATTATGCACGGTTGATCAGTATCTTTTCGATGATCCGCGAAAGTCCATATCCCATTTCTCTTTTTAGGACAAAAGAAACAGAACGAAATTGTGTAGAAATGGTAAATGAGGGACATTCGTTTATTAGGGTAGCGTGTCCTCGCCTGGAACTCAGGTCTAGAGTATCTTAGGTTATTCTAGCTCCTATTAGGGTTAGGAGTCGTTAGTATCTGGCTACCAGATAGACCATAGGAGGTTGGGGCCAGATCACGTGAGGTGGCTTCGCGTAACCTCGGCTTACCCCGACATAAACCGAGGGTGACGCGACCGCGCTCATCTCCCGGGAAGAGTCCCCGCGTAGGCGGCCCTTTGAAGGGGCTAACTCGGAGGGAGGGGTCTCTTTTAGCTCTAACCTTCGCGTCGAGGGAGTTTCTGCTCCTTCGGGGAGGCGCTTGTCCTCTGGATGGGCTGTAAAGGGGCCTGTTCTGAAGAACAGAGTCAGTTACTAAGGAGTTACAAGTCAGTTGCGAAAATGGTTATTAAGTAGTCGTTGGTCAGAGTAGTTGTTAGGTCAATGTGTGAAGAGATAGGAGAGTTATTTTGTAGGAAATACGAGCTAATAAAGAAAATTCCTACAATTGTTGAACGTGAAATTTATAGAAATGAAAATATTCGCTCTCTGATCTGACTATGATCCTTCATCGAAGACAAAAATCTAGGTACCGGTATTTGGGGTCGTGTAGAACAACGTTCAAGGCGTGATCCAGATCCTCCTGATTCAGAGTATCAATGTGCAGTGCTACCGCAATGTTGTGTCGAACATAGTTCTTGATATTGATAAACTGATCGGCAAACAGCGGTATACCGACCAGAGGCACACCAAAGTGAATAGCTTCCTGAGTACCCATGAGGCCCCCATGAGTGATGAACGCTTTCACGTTCGGATGCTCTGCAAGAAACAGATATCTCGTTAGAACGGTACCTCGTAATCTTCTCCCGATCTTTCGAAGTTTCGTATTATTCGCGAAACCTCGATAGACCTAAGTTACCAAGTTTTCCGAATCTTATCTCTCGGCATGTTCCGAATCTTATCCTCGTTTGCAATATACTTCAACGGTTAGTAAGTACTTACTGAGAACTTTGATCTGTGGTATCCACGGTAAAGTAAGGACGTTCTTGGGCAAGTTAGGCGGAAGTTCCTCCGATTTCGCTATCTTCATCAGAACACGAACAGGTGCTATCTTCTTCATGGCATTGTAAAATATCTCGATATGGCCAGCCGGGAAGGATTCGATCTTCACCATTGATCCAAACGAGAAGTAGATGAACCCATGCGTGCTCTCGTTCATCCATTTCTCCAGGCTCTGAAACCAATCGCCATATCACGATTTTTTCTTCCTTTAATCCTTGGCTCTTAGCTTATAGAGCTTAGCTTAGCTCTATAATCAAAAATGATTTTGCACAATGACTTACTCGCGATTTCTTTCTATATTACTGTCGGAAATGCCATCGACTCGAAAGTATTAAATTGCTATTTTCATGGAAACGAAGGTCTTCGGGGACAAATAGTTAAGTGGGACAATTAACTACGAATGAATCTCCAATTAATTTTTATCATCGCTCGCGTGTATTAGGTAATCCATTCTATTTGCTCGGAAAAATTTCGTTACGATACAGCGATAAGTTGTAACGATAGAAATGAAGGAAAAATAATTAATTAAGCGATAATTACAGGCGGTAACTTGACTCCTTCTTCTGTCACGTGCAGTCCTCCGATTTCGATGAACGCAGGGTTGGAGTCTTTAATTCCGTTGATCGACACATGCGAATTCACCAATATCATCGATACTTTTTTCTCTAATTCCCTCACGTCAGGTGCATCCGGGTTCACGTACTTCCTCAACATCGCGGTCTGTTCGCTGGTGATCGAGTTGAATTCGTATTTCGCGTAGATGTTGTTCACGACGTTGTGCAGCCTCTGCCAGAAGTTCATTTTCTGAGGATAGGAGAGGAGGTTGGTTGGCTCGAACGCCAGGTTTTCCGGGTTCGCGATGTAATCGGAAATCCATGGATAAAGAACGCACGTGCTGACACCTATTACTGGCACCTTCAAGATGTCGCCCAGTATCGCGTAACAGTGTGCGCCAAACACCTGCAAAAAGATGCAGGTTATTCTCGCGAATTTCGCTTAGAATTGAACTTTTTATTTTCCGAGATGCTGGAACTGGAGCGATAGATGGTCAGAGTTAGAGAGATGTTGATCAGACCACTTATCGACGAATATTGCCAAGTGCAATGGTTTGGTAGGGCGAATGTTTGCAATAAATGTGGAATTTTTAACGGTATTTATAACACTTTCTTTGTGACAGAATTTATGGTAAATATTCTATCGTCATTTAGATTATTTGGAATTGACAGTCGTATATAGCGAATTATAGATAAATTCCAACTATTTAAATTAATATATAGCAAGTCTATATTTTTTAGCTGTTTCATATTGATATATAGTATAGCGTAAACAAGTACTTGTGAGAATAATGGAATATCAATTGATTCAGGTAAGCAATTCAGTTTAAAGCAGGATTGTTGATTAATGCCATATTTTGACAAATGATCTGTGTTTTTGACCAATGATTTTTATCAATGAAAAGTAACCTAATCCAAGGCTGACTAATATACTCAGTTTAGTATGTACTATAATATATACTAGGTGACTAATGCATGTTGTTTGAGTATTATGTAGATGAATAACTATAGTCATTTTAATGAGCAAAATCTTAATGAATGGGACGCTAAAGAAAAATCTTTGAATTCAGTTTAAATTCAGAACTGTTCAAAACATTTTCGAATCAATCCATCGATAGTAGGACAATTGCTAAATGCAAAACAGGTCGTTCAAAGGCAGAACAGTGAAGTTCCGTCATGATACGGCCATAGTTCAGTCATGGTTCAGTCGCGATTCGACTAAGAAATTTGTAGAGGTTTATTTTAAATTTTTCTGCTCCTCTTCTTTCTCACTTTATCTTCCTAAATTTTACAATTCTTGTCTCCTTCGTCTACTCTAAGGAATACTTCTTACATAATTTGGATCCCTCTGGCATTATTAATTAATTCGATAGTTTTCGTCAGTTCGCGTTATCTAACCCTATACAATGATATACAATCTGTATACTAGTTACTATTAGAGTATTTGTACTTTCACGACTAAAGATTACGCTGTGTGTCGACAGCTTCACTGATTCAGTTTATCAAGAAATGACGAAGCATAAAGTGTATCTCGCGATATGTAGTGTTTATTGTCACTGATACTGGCATTAGATAAATACAGTAACGTTCAGTTGAGTGTAAATGTACTTGTAATTACGCTTAAACAGTAGAAATATAAATTACAGATTATATAAAAGAAATTACTAAATGTCTGTTACTTTTTCTCCTCTTATCAAAAACTATTGCAAAACTTTACATAAACAGTAAAAACAGGCTACTCATCTAAAACTTTCCGATATTTTGTGTCACGATAGTTCATAGAATGGAAATACATTTATAATCGTAAATATTATTTATTAGTTATTTCTTTACTTTTTTTTTTTCTTTTTAACCACTTTGTATGGAGGTAAAGAAGCTTTTAAATACGTTTGCGATGTAACTGCAATTTATCAGTGATAATGACGCGTACAACGTCTCTGAGGAAATTCATTTAAAATTATCAATAAACAACATCGACTTAAAAGACGAAAAATAAATATAACAAAATATGTTTTGCATCGCAGAATTACTAATCGGTTTTTGAATTTTTATGGTGTTATGTAACAGGATCATTGCTTTATGCGATTACTAATTAGGAATAAATTAAACGTCAATACGCTGTACTTTCCCTCAATATCTAGTCTTACTTTTGGAGTAACACAAAATTTATTTTTTCTTCCCAATCGTAGTACCTGTTCTACATTTTTTGACATACACTTTCAAAAGAAGGATACAGAATGTAATAAAAACAGTCTAAAAGTTTTATTCGAGAATTCTACTTCTCCTTATCTATTTTCATTTTTGTTCTAATTTTGTACCTTCCTCCATTTTTCAATTTTATTTTTACTCGTTTCGTAACTACTGTAAAGATAAACACGATGCTTCCAAATAAGTTCTAACAATGTTTATATATACCCTGGACGATTATTAACTTTAAAGACTTTTAAAATTAAAGGCAGTTCAATCTTTTGAGAAAGAAAATATGCTTGCTTCGGAAACTTCACGTCTTGAGTACCTTTGACGAGTAATACTAACAGCAATAACTAAGTAATGAGTAATAATAATAACTGGGTTGTATAGGGGTAGGATTGTAAAGGAAAAATATTGCCTTTAAACCGAGGATTGAGTAGACAAAGAAGAGGTAATTTCCATTCTAACGCAATAATAAGTTAAATTAAAGGTATATTCAATAAATTTCGATCAAACCACCTTTACTCTCTTGCATAATACTTCCAACACTGGTATATCACACCACGTGTAAATATTTCGACACATACCTAAGCAGAAAGAAGATGTAAAGATAAAAAGTTTAATACGTCTATTTGTAAATTAAAAAGTTTTGTTAATTCGCTCCTAGAGTCGTCGAAAAATATGGATTTAGTATAAGAAATTGCGATGAAATAGTTATCTTCAGGACAATTTAGCTTAAAGTTAGAACTCCATCTTTCGTCATTGTGTTTGTGGAAAATATTGAACTACAGCATGATATTTAGATGATTCTTCATTTGTTGATAAGAAATGTTATATTTCAATCGTGTTACGTTCCGTAATAATCGTGACATGACAATTAAGTGACTATTATGTGACTTGTTCATTTTCAAAGAAATATAACAATCATGCGATTCTCAATTTATATTCTCTTTTATCTAATTTTTGAAATTCCTCTCCTGTTTGCTATCTTAACTTTCAATTATACTCTAATACACCCTTTACATCTATACCATTTTGTCATGCAATTGTACTCGAATTTAACTTCGTACTGCATATTTTCTTCAAACCATCTCACACAAGTATATCTAATTATTAAGCGTTATCGAATGGTATTGAAATATAGCTATAGAGAGCAACGGTTGCAAAAGCGAAGAAATGACGATTGAATTCTAAGAAGCATGCAATTTCAAAAAGCAAACAGCAAAAACGAGTAGCAACATCGCCATTATTCCCAAATGCGACGCCATTTTCGTAAATATTCCAAGTATCCAGCGAGAGTCCATTTCGATGTAGCTTTAAACGCTTTAATTTTTCTAATTCGATGTAAGACGGTGCTATCGAAGAAGCATCTTCAACAATTTCTTCCTCTTTCCGATAGAGTTTTAGTGCTTTCCGTCAAACTTTTCATCGAAGAAACCTCGTCTCTGTGCCAAAAATTCGTCTCGAAAAATACCGCGAAATTCCAATTCCGAATGCTCGTGAACTTAAAATTGCTCGTAAACTCGTAGACAATTTTAATACTTGAGAAGCTCGGCTATTTTATCATCGCTAATGACCTTAATCGAGTCAAGTGAATTTCTGTTCACGAATGGCACAAATTGTCCGAAGCACGTGCTAGAGGAAAATCCGAGGAATAAAGTGATCAAAGAGTAGGGGAAGGGAAATTAACGCGAAATAGAAAATCTTTAATTAGAAAAACGGTGTTTTATGTCATGATAGATATACCATGATAGCGTAGCTTTCGAGTATACCGAGCAAATTGCTATAAATCGTACCTCCATGATTATCAGGTCGTAAGGTGGGTCATTAGGCGGATTACGGATAAATTTCTGAATCTCCGGGTGGTTCAAATGTTCGCAAACAACGTTCCCTGCCATCGTGGCCACAGCGGCTGGAATCGATGTCCTGAATTTCGTCATTACTTCTTCGTAGGTCAAATTGTTCATGAAATCCCTCGCTGTCGGAAGCACGATCAGGTCGGTATAATTAGGATACGGTTCCTTTAAGGGAAACGTGCTGATCACGTCAACTTGGTGACCCCTCTTCGCCAAAACCTTCATCAGCCGCTCGAACATTACGAAATGGCTCTTCCCATTGAAAGGAAATACCCCTAATATCCGGTATCCGTAACATACCGACAATACCGCGCAAAACACCACCACAGGTAACAATCTCATTTTGCAATTGCCTTCGAAATACCAAGAAATCGACGAGATGAAGATTACGCATTAATTCGATGTTGAAATCGACATAGACTTGTTACGAGATCAACTCGCGTGGACGATGGCCCGCACTTCACCGGAGAACAGCATCCAATTTAATCTTGATCAACTGGGCCCCGACTGGAAAAAATATTTTCACTTTTCTAGATGCGATTTAGTCATGTTCGAAGAGAAATGTCTGTCTATCCCTGGTAAACTGCTCAACGCTGACGCAAAAGACGTCAATAGGTCCGTACAGTTTGACTGACAGATCGGTACAGTGTCAATAGACCGAGCTTATCCTTCCATAGACTATCCAATATAAATTCTATTTTCGAATGGTCTATTTGAGTGGTGATTAAAGATACGTAAAACGATTTTTCAAGAGTTCCTGATATCATTAATCGTAGAAGGAAAGCGGCGCACGCGTTGTTTCTCTGATAATCCCTCCACGAACTGGGGCCTCTGTTTCGTTACACTAATCACGATATACACGAGTCGACGAATGATCAGTCAACCATTCGACTCGGCTGATCTCGACGAACTGACGATCTGAAAATCGTGACGCGATCATTTAACTATGGTTCGGTTACTTGCACATTTTCCGAGTTCCGAGTATCAGATTTTCTTGACTCTTTAAATAGCCTGACGAGTATGAAACGCGAATTTATAAACACCGCTTTGGTTTATTTACACCGTACCGTGTGTAAGACAAAATTCGTTAAGATTGCACACGAGTAAGGAGTCTCGTAATATTTAAACTTGAGACACATAGCCAAGAGCAGTCGTTGATCTACGTCACGCGAGTGAGGTGTAACGTTGGTTGAGCACCGATCGAGCACTGACAGTTGGGTCTTATGTCTACATCGATACAGGGTGCCCCAGTAATGGCAGTACAACCGAGGGGAGGTGATCCTACACGCGGGAACGAATGGAACAAGAACAATACGATTTTTCGATTCCTTGCAAGCTTCGTTTTCGAGAAAATCGACTTTGAATATCTGTCGTGTGAGGTTGTACTTAACGAGTGACGCGGCAACCGCCTACAAAAGCCAGGAAGGGGTCGTTATTCAATTGTGTGGATAATTTGACGACCAATAGACTATTTGGGGGAATGGCACTTGGTATTTTAATTTTTCATAGCCACATCGATTTATCCGTGATGTTTCGAATGTACCAAAAATACCTCGTAGTAGTTGGTTCGTTTAACATAAAGTAATTAATATATATGTATACAGTTCAGGTGACGACTAACATAGGTAAATAATTAGAGTCAGCCTAAATGTATTATATCCTCGTAATGAAAGTGTCGAATTTGAAAACCGAGTATTTCTTTAATTAAATATCAATCCCTTTAATTGCAAGAGATGTAACAAACTAGATTTCTCTACTCCATTTTCTCTCTCTTCGTCTGTATTAATTTTTCAGTTCTTGTCCCCTTTCTCTGAGCAGCAGATTATATATATATATTACCGAATAATTCTTAAAAATAGTAATTGCTCGAGAAAATATTTTTTACGTTATTTCTATTCTTCCAACATTATTGATGAACTCAATAGTCTTGCTCCTTCTGTTATTTCGCGTTATCTACCCTAAACGATAATTTTCTAAGCACTGTTTCGTCGCTCGAATGCAGAAAATTATGGAAGTATGTTGACTCGTCGATAAATTTGCATGCTAATAAGGAAAATGCCTCGATATGGATTGTATCCAATTCGCCTCTATACCACTGCTATTTTTATTCCTTTCTATTTGCGTATATTTTTCAATAACCGTCACTAGCCAATTTAGTCTTGCATGGTCAACGAAGAACTCGTGTGTAACATTCGCGATGTGTAACACAGATTAATTGGCGACGAGACAACAGCGTAATTCTTATCTATTGAACTCGTTCTTAAAGGTTGAAATTGGCTCGTAATATTCTACCACTTCGCGGTTATAGTTTTTCAATAGATAGAGATGCAATTCGATATCATTCGATACAGTCTATCTGAGCTTAATGGCGAGCTTTCCGCATTTATCACGCTATGACGACTTCAATCGACGCGTTCATACATTGCGAAATACTGTCAATGTTACAAAAGCCACTTTCGACGTTACGTTGATATAGGAATTTTTGTTTAGAAATAGAGAGATGGGGGAATATCTTGGTTCGTTGAACGGAATAATTCGAGCGATATTTTTCTCGGGAAAAAAAATATTGTACGTAGTTCGTGTTGATTTATTTGGACACGTGAAAGGTCTGACTGTTTGGAGTCTCAATTTAATTTCTTTCTCGCTTTCGTGCTATTTCCGTGCAATTTTCTCGATGCAATTTTAACGGGAGTCGATAGCGAACAGGTGACGAGAACAAAGTTGGTTATTAAAAACTCGTAGACGTCGATTAAGTTTCAAGCCTTTGCACTTGAAAGGCGTCGCTCAGTCGCCATTTAATCAGATTCTAAAGATGGATGTTAATTAATATATCAAATTTACAATTACCCAACGATGCGTGGCACATCGAAGTAAAGTAATTCTACGTTTTAATTTGCATATGATTTCTTATTTTTTTAAAATATATTTTACGTTTTAAAGATATCGTGGACTTTATGGCAGAATGTCTTCGAATTACCATTTCCCTGTAACGAAAAATTTTCCTATCACCAGAGTGTGTCCGCTGCAGAGGATTTCTTCCTTGAGACTACGTTACCGAATAAAATTATTGACATAATCTTGAGAGTTTATATATATGTATAATACTTACCCAAAAGAGTAAAATATATCTTATCGACATGCTCTGTAATAACCTTTCATTATTCTTTCGGTTTAAAATCTACTTTTATCATTATTGTTTAAAGTTTCTTTCTACTATGATTCATTTACTATGACAAGGAATATTTATACATCCTCGTTGCTGAATTAACCTCTGTTGACATTAATAATAATTTCGTGTTATTAAATCTCAGTTGATGTAAATATAGTTCCGAATCAATTTCTTTATTTACGTTCAATTTGTCACGAAGATTGTCATTTCGCGATATGAAATACGTACTTCTGATCAGAGTCGATTTTACGTAACAACGTAACAATTCAGTGTGGTATAAATTGTTACTACAAGCTATTAAAGTATCGGTACAATTTATCTTATTCATTTATAAGACTTACATTTATTAAACATATTTATTTCTCTAAGTGATCTCGCTAAATCCTCTTCATCCTATACACAGCTTCAAAAACTTCTAAAAACTGCCAAAAACTGTGTTTTAACATTAGAACTATCAACCCAGTGAAAATGACTGGTCCCAGAATTTTCCTTTCTGCAATCACCGAACACGTACACCTGCTTTAAGAATAAAATTGGTATCGATTCATATTAAGAAGGAACTGTAATCAATATTGTAGGATACCAATGGAAATCGCGAATCGGCTATTGCTAACAAAAATAAATTGTAAACCGATCGATATCTTCTAGAAGCAAATCGAAAAGTTATTCCATGTAACAAAATTAAATTGCGAGACTCCCCGGGAGGTGAAGCGTAGGTTAAGGAAAGCATAAAAGCGTGGTCCTTGACAACCAAAACAGAGTCCTTAGAAATCGGTTGTGACCAATACAAGCGTGAGTCGCTTGGTGTTGGAAAAAGAGTTTTAAAAGAGTGTGTCTTTGTGTGTTTTCGTTATCTTGGTGTTCTTTCCCAAAGTTAAATTAGTTTACGAGTTTTGAGTTTGCGTTATCGTGTTCTTGTTTTTTCGTCAATTTTCGGTGTCTCAAAACCAGTATTCGCCATCCTACAATATATTCACTCATTTTCATCGTATCGCTGAAATTACTATAATCCCTGTACGTTATAGTTAGGTGCCCATTAAAGCTCGGTAGTTCTAGTGTTACTGTGGACATTTTACTCGTTAAACGTAGGAAATTTAAGCGTTTGAGTATCTTCCTTTGTAAGTGCACATTTTTCTTTGTTTACATTTTCCAGAACGACCACAGTCATGGTCGCATTCGTTATCTGCGACGAGCTATAGCGCGCTAACTTTCCGCATAGAGGGTCCTTTAGACCATCTCCATTTTACGACTCGTTGAGCTCAACCTGACAAATATCATTCGACAAAAGTACCAAAATTTCGCGAGATTTCCCTGTTCCGTAACCAGTCGTGTTTTCAGACTAAAAGCAATTTGCTTGACATCAGTGCAACTTTCGTGGAAATTATCCTTTCAGTCGGTCGCCACGGTGAAAACGTTGCCAGGGCCTGTGGCTGCAGTTCCATTTTATGCGAAAGGTACAAGGATAGGGGATGAATAAGCCCTTGCGAGTGGCTTGGGAACTCACCCAACTTCTCGGCAAACTTGTCCAATGTTTACGCAATTTTAATGCGATTAAACGTGGCCCTGTCTACGTTTAATTACGCCTGATCGAACTCCCGGTGGTTCGTTTAATCGAGTTGAAAGTGGCTTTATCGCGAGGATCCTGTGCTTGCCTCTTTGCCAGTCTCCATTAATCGGGATCTTCTTCGCCAGACCCTTATCATTCTGGCTCTTTATGGATCTTCACGATTTTTCGTTTCTTCACCGACTTAGATTTATGGAGAATTCGTATCTCTGCGCAAAGTGCACAGGTCGAGGACTCTGTAGCTACTTGCTCCTTTCTTGCCATTTTTCATTAATCCAGATTTTCTCCAGACCATTTTCCCATCCCATTTTTAATCGCCTCGATTCATCGAGAATTCGTATTTTTTATTCTAAACGCGCAGAATAAGAATTTAGTGCGCAAAAGTACGAAAGTATACGTGTTACTTGCAGTTCGTTCATTTTAATGTATATACTAGCACAGGAGAAGCGTGGAATGAAGAAGAGGTCGAGATACCGGGTGAATAGGTGAATTAGAGAATGAATTGAACGATTTTCTTTAATGAATTACCCATTGGTCTCATTTTAATTTCTTTTCTAACGGGACAAGGCTTCTGCGATAAAGATTCCTTGACAGAAGTTTCAGAAGGAGCCATAACGAATAAATTAATAGGGCGAAACACACGGCCAAGAAGGCGAATACGTCGATTAGGGTTATTTTCCACCAAGGCAACTCCGTCGCCGATGATCTCAAGCTGTCCGGTCCGTTTCTGACCACGTATTCGATCCAATAGATCGCTGTATCCACGGCACTCATTGGTCGATCTCTGAACAACCTTGACATTCTCTTCGCGGATTCCCTGAAATGGAAACGCAAACCCTTACTTCGTGCACCCTCTTGGGTTTCGAAAGTTTCTTTTCAGCTTCTACTAGCTTTCTGGAACTTGAAACTTTTGAGAGGTGGCTTAGGACTACCCAGCCAGTTAGACTGGTTTTCGTTTATTCTAGTTTCCGATAATCTGAGAAATATCACCTGTACTTGGGGTCGTGCAAGAGCTTATTCAACGCGGAGTCCATGCCCTGTTCAGTGATGTTCAGGCTATCTAGCAGAACCGCAACATTCTTGTGCTCCAAGGTCTTGATGTTCTTCACTTGATCCGCGAACACAGGTATCCCTATCATAGGAACCCCACAGTAGATAGCTTCCTGGGTTCCCATGAGGCCACCGTGAGTCACGAATACTCTAGTATTCTTATGTTCTGTGAGAAATACGAAGATGCATTAATTTTGCCTACTTTCCACCGCAAATTACACGCGAATTCTGTCTAACCTGACCTCTCTAACCTCAGAATCCCTATCTCGCTCTGAATCCAATCTGCTTACATGCAGTCTGCTTTGACAGACAAGTCTACTTTGACAGACAAGTCTGCTTTGACAGACAAGTCTACCTTTACAGACAAATCTGCTTTGACAGGCAAGTCTACTTTGACAGACAAGTCTGCTTTGACAGACAAGTCTACTTTTTAGAAATACACCAAGAAGTTTCCTTCTAAAAAATATAGCACAATGGATCACAAATTTTTGAATTAATTTTTGACGTATTAGAAGTAATCGTGGAATCTTGGAGCGAAAGTAAGTTTAGCGAAGATATATGCTTATCAAAAAGCACAGGAAGACTGTCAAAAGATTGGAATACAGCAACGAGAATAGAGAACGAGAATGAAATCGGTGAATACTAATTAATAAGATCGACAATGAGAATAAAATTTGTCAAAAAGTCAGCTTCACCTACTCAGCACAGAAAACTGCGAAACCCAAGACGCTGTGAGCACGTTGCTAGGTAGACCAGCTGGTAAATCCGACGCGTTGGTGCTCTTCATCAGGACCTTTATCGGCGAAATTTTCGCTAACGACCTATACAATTTCAGCACCGTCTCTTCAGGGAACTTTTCGATGTTCAATATCGTGCCTAACGAGAAGTATACTAATCCGTGATCCGCTGAGTCCAACCACTTCTTGATTTCCTACATCCACGAAACGGTGAGTTAGATCTTGCTCGAGATCTAATAAACATCTAAGGATCTAATAAGGATCTAAGGATCTAACAAGGAGAAATGAAAGAAATCCTCGAGATCAAATTTCGGGAGGAACTTTGGGAAATCCTGTCGAAAACAAATTGGGAGATCAGTCGTGAAAAATCAGCTAGAACGGAATGCTCGCAGTGGAATGCCAGGAAATTCTGGAAATTGTTAAAAAATTGGACGAATTTTAGGAAATTCGAAAAATCGCAGAAAATTTTCTACCGGACTCAATTTCGGCGCTTCTTCAACCACGTGCAGCCCTCCGACTTCGATCATAGCCGGTGTAATGGGTTTGACACCGTAATAGCTGTAGTGCGTGTTCACCAGGGCCAATGCCACTTGCCTCTCCAGCGCTCTGACATCGGGCATATGAGGCAAAGCCATGGCCTTCCTCATTATATCGGTTTGAACCGCCGAGTAATGTTGAAAGACTATTACTGCGTGGTAATTCGTGTAGGCATTCCACAAACGATCGAAGAACGTTTCTATCGAGGGATTTTCGTTGAAGAAACCCGAAAAGAAAGCGTCGTTTTGAGTATTCCCCATAAAGGTGTTGATAAATGGAAATTCTAGGAACGATGTAACGATGACCACTGGTACATTCAGTAGATTGCCGAATCCTAAGTAACACGGCGAGCCGAAGTACTGAAAGGAACATGAATTCTTTAGAATTTTGGTAACTCTTTTAGAATCGAAATAAGTTTCGTATTTATACGAATTTTTGCATTTTCTCTTTGATCGTCATGTGAGTTTCATCGGATTAAAATTATATTCTATTATATTTAAAGAGTCGTTTTCCAATTCCTTTCTCGATCACGCAAAATGGCACTTCGGTGTTATGACAACATAAGAAGTTCGAGTTATTCGTTAATACTGGCATATTTGAAATAATTATTTAGTTACAACGTTACATTCTAGGAAATCAGAATCGTCTCTAGACATTGCACAAAGTTAATTCCATTTTATTTTGGAGCACTGCAATGATCCGAGTGCGAGGACATTTCTGCACGACGCTTTTTACCGGTACCCTAATTTGTAGTTGGATACTGAAATATTGTTAAAAACGGGGAACTTTTTACGAAGGAGATTAATGTTCATAGCGTTAATTATATTTACCTGAGCAATTACGAGATCGTACGGTGGGTCGTTAGGTGGGTTTTTGATAAAATTCTGCATTTCTTCTCGGAACAATAGATCACATATAGAATTACCGAACATTGTGGCTATGAAATATGTCACCTGTAGCTGCATCTTTCGCCACTCCTCGACACTTATGGCAGAGTAAATTCCCTTGCCACTTAAGTTAATGATGTCTGTGTAATTAGCTAGCGGTTTCTCTGTTGGAAAATGGCTGATCACGTCAACTTTGTGCCCCCTTTTTGCAAGGGCCCTGGACAGGGTCCCGAACATTTGAAAGTGGCTCTTCCCTTGGTATGGATAGATACAGAGTATTCTGTAGGCAACATCTGTATGTACCAACACAGCCAGTACTAGAGACAACAGTATTTTTTGGTACTTCATGCTCTCTTTCCTCTATTCCCAGCTGTAACGAACAGTCGTTTCAATCACTATTCGATGGAGTACCACTCAAAAACGTTTTAGTTTTCACTCTCAAATTTTCTTCTCATCTTTAAATTCCTGCAGAGCTAAGAATTCGAACTGTACGAAATTTCAGAAATTCGAGAATTTTATTAATACTTGGAAACTTTTTAATTTGGAAATTCGGAGATTCGAAGATCTGAAAATTCTAAAATTGAATATTTAGGAATTCCAAAATTCATTAGTATTCATTCTCAAATTTTCTTCTCATCTTTAAATTCTTGCAGAGTTAAGAATTCGAACTGTTCGAAAGTTCAGAAATTCGAGAATTTGATTAATACTTGGAAACTTTTTAATTTGGAGATTCGGACATTCGAAGATCTGAAAATTCTAAAATTTAATAGTCCGAATATTTTAAAATTTAGAAGTTCCAAAACTCGAACATTTCAAAATTAAAAAATTCGAAGATTGGAAGATTCTAAAATCTAATATTTTAAAAATTCGACGATTCGAATTCCTATCATATACATTTTATACGTATCCCTAAATATTCTTGAAATCTCTTTTATTCGTCTTAAAAGAAAATTAACAAAATTCATAAGACTCTAAACGTATCACTTCGTGACAAGCTTTATTTATTTATCATTTATTGAGGTTCTCGCAAAAGCACATTGTACAGAATATACATATTGTATGTACTGTCACGTTGTATCCGCGGAAAATGCGATTCGCATGACAAGCTATGTCAAACTTCACGACCATACATCGGGCCGAAAAATGTCGGGCGAAATTTAGTGCACGTGTGTGCAAATATAAAGTGCAAAGTAATTAAAGCAAGTCAAAAGTAATTAATAAAACTCCAGATACAGTTGTCTGCTATCACGAGGTAAACGTGTAGTACAAAAATGAAAATAATAATGATAGCGATTAATTAAGAACCAACTTGATAACCCTAAAACAGATAGTCATTAATGAACATGTTCGAATTCTCGCTCAACGATGACGAATTGCAACTCGACTACTTTCAAGGAAAAACACAGTCGCATACTTTGCACGATAAGTCTTAATGAAGCTAATTATCGAACATTGAATCTATATTTATTTCGCGTTAATTATATGTATATTATCCATGCTATCTCCTGTAATAAACTCTGCATAGTGGACAGACTCCACCATGCAATTTTGTTTTATCCTGTGGGTCCATTAACATTTATTAAATTTTATCGAAACATAGTTGGCCAAACGTGACAAAGGTTAGTGCCATTGTTAGCCTTCCTCGTTCACCCGGAAGATTTTCGTTATCCTTGTTTGTATTACATTTTTCATTTCCTTCGTTAAATTATTGCGTTGGAAAGAAAGTACTTTCGGTTTTTTAGTGAGAAATAAAACTCAATTTTTTCTATACAGTAAATGAACTTTAATCGGTCAAATATCTTCCATTCTATTCGATGACCTTTTGCCATCTTTCTGCTAACTTCATGATCCCGCGGTCATAGAATTTCTGGTCCTTATCTGCAGAAAACTTAACCAAGTGCGTAAATCTCAGAAGGTCGATCAGAACGTTGTGGGTATCTTTCAGTGAAAAATCTTCAGAACGAAATTTTTTAAACTAATTCTGAACGTGCGTTCTGTTAAACAATCAACACCATAAACTTCTCGTATCTCTTTGCGAGCCTCAGTCGCATTCTTGCCTTTATGAAAATAAAAAAGTAAAATGTGTCGAAAATGCTTATTTTTGCACTCCATGTTAAGACTGACCGTGAACTGACAGTTATAAACGAAATTACACGGAATTTCACGAAATAGCAACGTAAAGGTATCGACTACCACATGTCAAAAGAAAAAAATTCTAACATTGTCAAAAGAATAATTAAACAAGCATAACATTATTTACTGATGCAAACCGAAATTACTTTCTTGCCAATCCAATATATACGTAATTCTCCGGGTTAGTATCTTATATTTATGTTGTTCTCTCAGTTAACGTCGTGTTACCTTCAAACAACTCGGTGGAATGTAATGCGCCCTATTAATTTGAAAAATGTCCCACCCTTGCTAATTTTTCTCTCGCGCTGCTCGTTTGTAGTATCGTAACAAGCGTTTCGTTATTCCATTGCATAGGCTCGAATTAAGCGAACCACGTGCATATTACTCGTGTAAATGCAACAAACCGAGGTGTCAGTGTAATCATTATGGAATAATTTAATTGCTGCCGCGTAATAAATCAGCAATGGAATTTAAATTAGGCGTTCGTCGGCGTTATTGTTATCATACTTGGTGAATAATTAATCGAACCTTGTACTCGATACAATATGCTTCAAACAATTTGAGGTGCAGCGATAAGAGCACCTGATGTCCTCGTAAAACGAATTAAAATAGAAGCGACATTTAAATTCCCCCTGACAATATTCAAATTCCAGTTACACCGAAAAAAGATTAAAAACTCGCGTTTGATTCGTCAATTTTTATTCATTTCACTGAAAAATTTGGGAATTTGGCCGACGAGAAATTGCTCGAAATATTGGGAATTTCGGAAAGTTTCATTTATTTCGTCCAAGACCGGTGAAAAGTTTTCTGGTGAGAAAGTAGTTACTGGTTTCACTAGGGGAAAACATGGCCATTAATTCAGAGGTACTCTGGGAATGTTCATCAGGAAAATTAATGGTAGGTACTTACGTAAGTACATGTATCGAGCCGAGTTTCCTTATGGACAAAACGTGTAGACAAATTTTAATGAAACTTTGAACTACGTACAATTGAGATTCAACGTGGGTCTATTTATATCGTCCATTATAACGCGCCATCTTTCATTCCTGATATTACTCCCGTAATATATAGAGTAGTCGAATTATTCTTGTTCTTATTTTTTAAAAAGAATATTATAATTTCTCTGAATTCTTCCTTATATTTGATATACTAATTCATAAATGAAGCTGCTCGTCTTTAAAACGATTAGTTTCGAAAATACTGAAATTCCATCCTTAAAAATTTGATGCAAGACCCTCTGAATATCGAAAGTTGACCAATTACAATCGAGATGAACCTCGACGATCGGCTAAAACCGCCAAAATGGCAGAAGATTACGTTGAGTTTGCTGAATAGAGCGAAACTATCGTGCCTGTATTACAAAGACAGTATTTATAAAAATTCCGATTAGGTGTGAACAAACTCTTAGATTCGATGTTACTTTATGTAGCACTAAAACAATGGATTATTTTAATTTATTCGCGACATTTTAGCCGTAATTTTCTTTTCACAATAATGGCGATGATGTTTAAAGAGACGTAATAAAACAATGCAGGTAGACATGTATAAATAAATATCTATATAAATAAAATTCAGTATTATGTTAATAATTTAAAGCAAGACCAGATTTAATTTCAAACCTCGTTTTACATTCTTCGTTTCTTTTACAATTTTTAATTATTCCCTGCTAATGGTTCGAAAAATCAGCCATTTTTCTACTCGAGGTGTACAAATATTTGTCATGATAAGTAAATTTCTATACTGATAAAAACAATAAGAGAATGACTTCCTTAAGGAATGGTAACGGATCAATCGTTGATAGAAATATTCGCGTAAAGAGAAATTTTATGGAATATTAAAAATTATTTAACGACGATCATTTTTCGATTGTTATATCACAATTCGCGGAGAGGAGCCAATTAGCGATTTGGCAGAAATTTCTATCGAAATTGGAAGAGTGTATTAATGCGTTTAATTAGTGAAAAATGGCACTTACGTTGAATTCGTGATGCTTTGATCCTCTTTTACCTCTACTCCCATTAAACGGTATAGCAAAGGCTATCCTCCTGAGGTTAATTAGAGTTAATTACTTAACGGTTACGTAAATTTTATCTTGATATTATTACCCTTGTTCCTACGACTTCATGTCGACTCTTATATAGAGTCGGTTTCTTTCTTCCTCTTCTTGTCCTACTTCTATTTTATCATTTGACTTGCAAATTTTGTATATGATTTTAATAAAACGGATACATATTATTAACATTATCGAGCAAGAAATAAATTCACGACCAATGACTGACATAGATTCACGTTGTACAAAATTGCATAAATTTTTGTACGACATCATAATTTCATATTTCACAATGACATAACGAATCTATGTCATTGCTACTACTATCAATGAAACGTTTATTTTTACCGGCAACCATACTAATCACCAGTTGGCGATAGTTGGTCTAACGCACGTATTACACGGTTTACTTTAGCGCAGTAAAAAAGAAACGATTTACTCCCATAAATTAGAAATAGTCATTTCCTTTTCATTTCGAAGGACAACATACGTAGATTATTACACGTGTTAAGAATCATACAAATAATACAGTGTTTTCGGGGGTTGAATTTATAAAACGATACAAATCGTCACGATAAGCTAAATGCAGAAGAGAAATAGGAAACTTGACAGAAAGAGATAAAAAAATTCTCAAAACTGGAATTATTTATAGATAATCACTTAACTCATTTATACTTTACTCACTTAGATAATTTCTAAGGACAAACTTGTATTATATAAGTAACTAGACAAATTAATACGATACTATATAAGTAACTAGGTATAATGTCATCATATTTATAGGCTCATGTTTACATTAATAAAGCAAACTAAATTGGAATAAAACAAGATAAACTAAACAAAAATAAAATAAAATAAAATAAAATAAAATAAAAGCAAGAACTATCAACTGTCCACGAGACGAAAAGGAACGTGTTAAAAAAGTAAATTTCCCAGCAGTTCCTCCAGCTCCTTGGGCCATTCGTCCACGAAGTATCCATAGGACACGACGTTCACGTGACTTAATGAAATTTCCCGGTTCTCGAAGGCATACAGTTTTTATTTTCCAAGAGCGGAAACCGCGTCACGTCGTGGAAAGTAATCGGGTCTCGGGTCACGTTAATTACGAGCCTGGCCAATTTCTCGCGCCAAGTGCATCCACGTGCATGATGCAAGTTACAAATAGAACAGCCGACGTTTATATTAATCAGGGATACGCACCACCGTGTATATAGTTTTGGCAACTGAATCATGCCGTACTTGGAAGCCGACCAGTGTTCGGGGTTAATGACTGAAAAGTTTGACAAGAGGAGAATTATCCAGCAACGCGAATACCGAGTTGTTAGCGTTGAAAGATGGATAGGCCATTTTGTTACGCTTTGAATTTCAACCAGTCCATTAACGTCCGCCATTCGTGCATCGACTGCTGGAATTTTCGCTAAACGTAAATAACGTGTTTGTTCGAATTTTCATATTCGTCGAAAATTGGAAACTTCTACCGAAGCTATGAAACTTATTTATGGGAAATGTGGGAAATTTTAATTATAATAAATATATAATATCGTATCCCTTGAAAATTGGATATTTAGACCAGACAATAGCAGATTCTCGTTGAAAACGAAGGTTTAAGTAGAAGCGTTAATTCGTCGAGATCTGAAAATATGGACTAAATGTAAAAATTGCTATACCTGTGAGAAACCAGAAATTTGTATCGAAGATGATTATTATATTCGTTGAAAGCAGGAAATTTCAGTTGAGAACTGAAGATTATTCCACCTTGAGATACCCCAAATGGTAAAGTGGATATCTTTTGTTCTTTAAATTTCTTTGTTCTTTTCTAAAGGATATTACGTTCATTGAAAGAGAGTGGATGTTTTTCGAGCTCGAATCAAAGAAATATAATAGTATTTCGTTGTTTCATTAAACAGCAACCACGGGAAGGAAGCTGTCATTCGGGAAGCCTGATTGAATCTCGTAAGAAAAGCCGTTTATTCCTTGATTGGTTCAATTCTGTTCTTGTTCAGGCCCTTTAATCTTCCAAACACGATCACTTATTAATACAACTTGAAAACATGTAATCTCCCTTCAGGAACCCTTCATCTCGTCTATTTATTAGGAGAACAGGAGAGAACACTCATATCTATAATCTTTCACTTCTCTACCATTAAAAGATTTCTTCCTTTCTTCACGTTTGATTTAAGGATTTCGTCGAGGATGGAAATTATTTATATTTTATTGTATACTAATGAAAAAGGCGAAGGAAATAAACTTCTAAAATTATAAATCAAAATTGTCTTAACAGACACCAGACGAAAATTATAAATTCTTTTAATACTATACTATTTACTATACTTAACTTAGCTTAATTTCCTCTTCTCATTATCACCCGATGTCGTTCCAGAGCACGAAATTATTTCGAACCGATAAATAATATTCCCATCCTTTTGTCACGATTGATTCACATGTATTCAGGTTAAATATTTATCTTTATTATCATTTCTATTTGAATACGTAGTACTTTGCTTAACTCTATTGCACGAATTTAAGCAGCCATATCCGTGAAGCGTTCGCCGTCCATTTTGTTATACTTTGCTTTTTGTGATGGATGATTTCGTTTGAGTCATCAACAATCGAATAACGTTTGATGATCTTCGGTATCGATAATGATCAGTTATATTAATCGTCGATATATTTTTTAATTATTATGGCATTTGACTTGATACCACGACTGAAAATTTAATCAACGCGAAAGTATTTCGCTCCGTATGTATGTTCCGTAAATATTATGCTCTCGAAGTTTAGGTTAAAGGGAATATCGATCTATAGCAATTAATTTAAATTTGGAATTTTCTCCGCAATATTTGCACTCGTAGAATCCGCGATCGCTTTATGGAATTAATGTAAATCGCAGATCGTATGAATTACCAAAATCTACGATCCTCTTTAAATTAGTTTACTCGGGGTTAACGTTTGCATGATCGAAATATTTATCGAATTTTAATCTTCCTCTTTATTATTAGTGTTAACATCACAAATAATTTTCATTTTCATGCATGATTATAAACGAAACAGTATAATGTATAATGCATCTTTTATTTATGTACATTTTTATTTTTTAACGTTCTCTTAGTAATGAGTTCTGTTGCATTTTCAATGTTTTTAGAGTAGTATTTATTCAAATTCATACACACATTCAAGTTCGCCAGCACTTCGCGTATTCCACTTAAATTGCACGCGGAATAATCAATTTTGACATACAGTTGTAACGAAAAAGAAAATTAATAGAGAATATTGAAAACTGCGAAAGGCTTCTTGATATTGCACAAAAGACGATGATTTATCGATGTTATTCGGTGTGATAATTCAAAACTATATCTACGTCAAACAAAATTCATCTCTATCGCAATCCCGTCAAACATACCACTGGGCAATAATTGGTAATAAATATGGAAAAATTTTATTTACATTGTACGAATGTATTCTGGATTTTTATGGAAACAGTGGGATTTTACGAAAGAACGGTTTTATATGCGAATAAACTAATAAATAAATATGCAGTCTTATGTAATATTGCAAATCCATATAACAATTTAACGACAAGAGTTTTTACCTGCAATCTCATATAATGACTATCTATTTAATCATTATATCATTATTTTTCTATATATATATTATATATATTACAACATGGTTATGTAAAATATATATAGCAATAGTTCGTGCATTCCCTTTTTATACGAGCACCGAAATTCACATTAAATTCGGTAATTCCTATGTTTCAAAACAAATAAGAATAAAAACCGAAACTCCAGTTGTTTAATACCAAATTAAAATTAAAAAACTGAATTACGAATTCGAGTAAAGAGAGCCACATCGCGAGCTCTCTATGAATCGAGACGCTTGGAAAAGTGTCTTACCTGAAATCCTAGAAAATTCTGAACGAAACAGAAATCGAGTCAGTGATCATTTCTCGCGATGTGATCACTACACGGTACTTTCATCTCAGCGTCTAGCATCCAAGTCGAAGTACGTATCAACTTCATCTCATATTCCACGTAGGGTCCATCGAACGTGAAATAGACGGGTTGCACGAACACGCGAAGATTCTCGAAATTCACCGCGACCTCACGTGCTGAATACACTCCGAGGTACTTTTCATCGCCACTGTGGATCTCGTAAAAGAATTCGTGCAATTTATTCCATGAAGCGACGTTTATACGACCGGGAATTAAGTTCATCTCCAGAGTGCAATTCGAGAGTGCCTGAGGTGATTTCCAAAGAGGCTGGACATTAGGGTTCCAATTAAATAGAGACGGGAAGGAAAAACTCAGGATTCGATGCACATGACAGCCATTAATCCTTGTGCCACGAGTAACAAGTCACTTTGATCCGCGATGGCGTTCGAAGTACACTTCTCGTTGCTTCGACTAACATTTTTAATTAGTATTTAGCGAAATGGCGAAGGAGTGTTCCAATTAGCATTGATAGACCCGTGACAAGGGAAGAAAAGATCAGGACTCGATGCACATGGCAGCCATTAACTCTTCCACGACGAATACAGGGTCTCTTTGATCGTACAAATGCAAGAATCATGCGAAGACTAGACTCAATTCGTGTATCAAATGTACAGAAGGTTAAAAAGAAATATAAGTATATGCTTTTCTGCTAAACTAATTTGCAATAGAAATTTTCTTAGGTCAAAATGACCTAGCATTTGTCTTCCGTGTCTGTCGAAAGCCATTCATCTATCAAAGGTTAATGGGATTTGAGTTGGTGCAAGGAGAACTCGAGGAATATTACTCCAACTCGGAATTAGGGTCCTAACTGTTTTTGCGGTTCTATGTCGAGCTGGACTAAACGTTCTACTTTGATTGATCTGTTTTAGTTTCAGCTCGTGAAACACATAGCTTTGTGCGGTAGTCTAATTTGAAGGATAAGTCAAATTGTTACAGATAAGGATGAAGTTGAAAAATGAATAAATTGTTTAATAACGAATAATGTATTCCTCCTTTTCAGAGCCATACTGTCAGATGACGTTTGATGGATGGTCCTGCTGGCCAAATACTCCAGCAGGAAGCACAGCATACGCTCCGTGTCCAGATTTCATCACTGGCTTCGATGCATCGTGTAAGTTCTTCGCCATTTTCTATCGTGGCTTCGCCATTTTCTATCCCCCAATTCAGAAAACTCGAGGTATCGTGAAAATTGAAATTTCTTATTATCCTTAATTAACAACTCTATCAATTTTAATTAAGACCATGAAACAGCTAATGGAACAGGATTCCCATAGTACTGTAAGATGAAATAAAGTAAAAGACCAGCCCAAGGCAATTCTTTACACAGCACTTTATTATATGCTTCGTACGCATATGTATGATGAAATGCATAATCAAGTGATGCGAAGCGCGACGTTTAGTGTTTCGTATCACAATGATATATATTTCCATAAATAGCATCTTCGAGCATGTTGCAAATATCCTTACCTACGATATAAAAAATGCATTTTATAACAAAATAAATCTTGTGAACTTCACAGATCAACGGTCTATCGAATCTCTCAAATTGTGCGCGATATTATTCCTTGATCCTCAGTAACGTATAACTATCAATCGACGATCAATCGAACCACACTTTGTACACAAAATGCTCGCCAATTTGTCGCTATTTTCTCGTTCTTCGTTATCGGCCATACGTAATGTACAGATACGACCGATTTCTTCAGTAATATGAAGGGTAACCAACGATTAACGCCTATTCGTTGAACCTCATTCCTCATCCCAATTTGATAAATCCATCTTACAACGTGATTATTCGTCGGAGCATGTTTTATTAATAATATTACAGACGATACTTTTGATCACCGGATGATCAAATTCCGAGAACTTCATCATCACCTTGTCGTACCTCTCGGTGTACTCCTTAGACGTGATGGGAGTTAACAATTTCACCGCCATCAGTGCCGCTTCTATAGTCCCTACCTCCATTAGCCCTTCGATTATACCCAAGTTCACGTCGTTCTTGTCATAATCCTTGAACGTATTCCAGCCGAGTGTACATTGTAAAACATCAGTCATGAAAAAGATGAACAACGACGAGAAGATTTCGATCAACTCGGGTAACCTTTGACCCACTTTGATTCCAAATTCCTTGGGTGTCTTCGAGAACACCTGTTCCCTGCTGTACACCAGCAACAAGTAAGACGTTGGGTCCATTTGAGGAGTTAGGACGGAAAGAAACGTGGACAGAATTCCGTCGATCAGTCGTAGTTCCATATCCAGGAAGGAAAACGTGTGAGTGACTACCTCGATGAATAAGTTAAGAGCATTGTTCACCGGGTAGAAGTGAGGATTATCGGGGTGCGGCACGTTCCATCCGCTCTCGACAACCTCCTTAAACACGCTAGAGAAGATCTTCATTCGTTCGTCGAATTTATCCTTTGTTGGAAGTAACAGAGTCGTGACTACGAACATGGCGGCGCAACGAGAGATATTTATCCCTCCGTAGAACAAGAATCTCCGTATGAGCTCCTTGATGAAGTCCTCGGGTAGGAGGTTACAAATGGCAGCGTTTATATGGTTCAACAAGACGGTGATGTATGTCGTGATTTGCCACTTCTCGACATCAGCTTCCGCGAATCTATCGATCATGTTCAAGATCAATTTCACGAATTCGACCACGTATTGGTCAGAGACTGAATTTATTAGCAACAGCGAGTCAGAGAACAATTTTCTCTCCTTCGGTGTGAGCGTGGAAAACATATGAACGAACAGGGACCACGTTGCGGGTCCCGGGTCGTTCTGATACACTTTCTTCGCCATGGTGAACAGGACTTCACGAATAGAGTGGTTTTTTTCGGTTTCCCACTGCGAATGAAGGAAGGTGAGTAATTGTTCGCGAGGAGCCACCATATGTATCAGTCTGATCCCATGCTTCCGGACAGATACCCTCTGATTGGACAATGTCCTGGCAAATGATATCACGTCCATTGCGTTTGTCTTTCTGGTCACAGTTATCAGTGCTCTCAGAGTATCTAACAAGTAATCTCCCTCGCACAGCCTGTTTAACACCGACAGGGAAACTGGTGGATTCGCGAAATTCATAGAAGCGATGACTTGCGCAACTAAAGTGTAACGAGTCCTTGCATCCTCCTGATGAATTTCTACTGTCTTGCTCGTTGGAAGCAAAGGCTCGATGATTTGAGTGTACGTTTCTCCGTGAACCAGGATAGCCAAAATTTCTAAACAGATTATGTCCTGATTTTGCGTTAGATCCTGAAGGCATTTTTCGACGAATCTCATGGGAATGTGATTATACCAACGTACAGCCCTGACGAATCGTTTCGACTGCTCATAGTTCCATTTGTCCTCGCAAGCTTTTAGATACTCCCTCCAGTGATCCAGAATATGTTTTGGATTCTTCTTCAGAACTTTTAAAGCCTCGCCCTTTTTTACACAGGCGAGTTCTTTGCTTTTTGGCCAGAAACGATCATATAAATCTCGTTCCGACACCAATATACTTTGTAGATTCGCGATTATATATATATTACTCTGATCCGTCGTAGATAGAATTTCCTCGATTGCTTGTATCATCCACGGATAATTTTTGATCGACATTCGTTCTATGCGATTGGTTTTAGTCACGTGGGACTTGTTGAAGTGGTAGATCGAGGAACATAGATCAAACAGGATCCCAACTTTGTCTTCCCTCCAAGGAGTCTTATCAGAATTATATTTCTTTGAAACTACGTTTACACAAGCCTCCAGACACATTCTTTCGTATTCGGGATAATTTTGAAGAATATTCCAGTAACCTGTACATCTCATGCTTTTTAAATCCACGAGTATATTGATCAACATATCAATCGGTTGATTCTGAAGGATTTTATAGTGTATAGCTGCACTCAATATTTTAACGCTGATACTACTTCCCGCTAGCAAGTCATTTTTCACGTGAGCTCGCACGATCATATCGAGTAAGATCGTCCAGTAATCGTTACCCATATGAGGAAGATTGTAAAGTTCCAACATAGTCTGGAACACCTTCGAATGGAACCAATATTGCTCGTTTTTGTGCCTATTCTTTAGATACGTCAGAACCGCTAACAAACTCTGATCATCGTTGTTTACTTTGCACGTGTAGATCATTTTACTCGCTATTGCCGCTCTATACTCCATCTCTGAGGTACTAGTAATCGCATCCTTAAAATACGGTATCGACTCTTTGGCAGGAAGGTAACACCTCCAACTATGTGTGTATCCCATTTCCTTCAACGAATTATCTTCTTCCTGCAACTTGATCCTCGCTTGTCTAGTTCGTTCTTCGGGGGGCAATATCTTTAACAGCTCGATTGTTATTTTACCCAAATCATCCAGTATGCTTTTTCCATAGACCTGCTGATAAGTTTTCAGGAAAAATTCCACCTTTTTATCCTGTGGATAATAATGCAAATAGTTCAACATGTCATTAGTATTGAAATCCTTAATGTTCTCAGGGAACAGTTTCGCAAATATGGCTTCCATACGACTGTTACTGATCTTTCTCAGTGGGAGCAACTTAATATACAACTTGGGATTTCGTAACAGATGTTCCTTGCCGTTTTTCAGAAATGCTTCGGCACGCTTATTGCTCAAATTTACATTCGGAGGAAGATTTTTGTGCATCTCGTACAATTCTACGAACAAATCCAATCGTTTCTTGATCAATGCCGCCAGGACGTCACCGAAATCATAAATATTCACCGGATGAAGATTCCTCGCGCAAGGATCAGTGTTCGGTTTACTTAATCTAAGATAACGCACGACAATGTCCGGGTTGCTCCGAAAGATTTGTTTAACCAGCTTCCGGCTCAAAACGATTTTTCTGTCCACGATCGTGTTATACATGAAAGACTCGCTGCACGCTACGAGTAAGGGCAACGCTTGCTCTAGACCATAGAATGAGGATACAGCCAAGAAGAATTCTTCGGCCAGGTCAGAATTCTTGGACGCCAGGCGAGTGGCCAAGGTTTTGATGATTCGCGTTCTGGTATTCAAAGAGACGTATGGGAACAAGTTGTCAAAAAAGTATTGACTATTAGTAATGGTTTTGTTGGTCCCGTTGAAGAAGTTGCGCGCCTGCAACGCTCTATGCACTACCATTTCATCTGTGGACTTAAGAGCCTCCGCTATTGCCGCATAGCTACTCTGATTATCGTGATCCTTCTCGTTCAGTATCATGGCTGCCTGAATTTGAACCAGAGGTACAAGCGGCTTTGGAATTTTCTCGCATTCGACCACATCCTCCAACCTGTTGGTCGCGTGTAGTCGTTCTTTTATCAGATTCATTATCCATCTGAATTTCTGGCCAGGTGTTTCACCAGGCAGCATTTGAATAGCGTCCAGGTAAGGCGTCGGCACAGTCATCTTGCTTGAAGTTGAGTTGACCTAGATGCTGTTAAAAATTGCTTTTATTAGTATAAAAGAAATACAGTAATTATATGAAAAATTAATATTTTATATAAAATATTGTGTTAAATTAAACGTCATCTTCTTTGCTCTTGTGAGGATTAATGTCTGGTGTAGTTTCAGCTCCTTGAAAATTTGCTTCCATTATAATTAAGGGACTGAATTAACTTCTTTGATATACATGCAAAATCCTTTAAGTCTTGAGATTGCTACATCTAATTTATGTACACGAAGAACAGGTGGCTTTCGAATACCGATAATTGGCTGCGATGTGCACTCACATGACTATCGCATGTTTTACACCTCATTCTCATTCGCAATTAACGATGTTTACAGATTTCGAACAACTAATAGCGACGTTCTGGAAACTCATTGCGCAAAGAAGATCGATAACCATTACCTTTCACGCTATCACACTCGTACAACAAACATTATTCACTCTTGGTTATTGCTAAGCTAAATGGACTCTTGAGAATTAAGATGAAAAAAGAAAATCTCCATAATCGATTATTGTTTCTGATTTCCTCGTCGTTGCCTATTTCTCCGCCTGTTACGGTTCTTGCAAAAAGGATATTTCTGAAAGTTCTTCAAATTTTCCATCTACTCCCGGAAAATTTGCCTCTGTACCGTGACAAAATGGAGATATTTGTTTCTAGGTTTTCCTCATTCTACGATGTTTTCTTCGTCCTCCTATCGGGAAATTAAATGAAGAAATTCGACGTTTAGACGATGTAGCGATGAAAGAAAAATACATGTTTTATTCAGAACAGATTAAGATCTTCGTGAGACGTGTAAAGAATTGACGAGGGTCTTCCTTATAAGAATAATTACGTCATATTAAAAAATGTAAATTATGAGACTCGCTCAAGGTGTTGCTATTCCTTTTTCCTTCCAATAAAAGTTATGTCAGGTAATCCAAGTTAATTCCAACCAGATGTTCATTAATCAAATTGCGATAAATTGTCGACATCGTGATAAGCTTCGGGCAGTAAATAATGCGTTATTTTATTTACATTATTAGGTTTTAGAAAGTTATACATTACAATTAAGATAAGGTATGAATATGTAGAATAACACTGGGCTTTCGAATTTCGTTCGAAATACAGGAATATAGAGGGTTCTAAATACCGGTTAAACTTTTTTCCATCATTTTACAGTTTTTAAAATTTTTTAAGCAATAAATGAAATCACATCCTAAGATGGACAGGGTTTTCTCCTGACTTTAACAAAATTGTTAATATGTTTCACTTATAAATATTTTAAAAGATATGCTTAATCAAATAGCAAACATGTAGAGGGTTTAAACGAATTTATTTTGAGGAAAAGTGAATTCAGTTTTATTCATGGACTAATAATCCAGCGATATTATCTATTTATTTATAAAGCGATTTAAACTTTGTGGGACAAAGTGAATGATGCAATATATTCGAGAAACAATATTTTTCGAACACATATTCATGGAAAAAATAGAACTGACAACAACAAAGTAACAAAGTAAAAAAGACGTTTATCATGGTATGATAAAATATCTACTTTTAATACTTTTATTACCTGGCACATAATAAAAATACTGTTTGCCGATTTATTTTTCTTTCTACAAAAGGGAAAAAAAATCGAAACTAAAGAAATCCTGTATCCAATCATAGGGGAACCATCAGCCGTACCATATTTGCCACGTAAAAAATCCCAGTCAACCTTGAGTTTTGAAAAAGAAAAAAATAATTTTATCGCTCCTAATCAACAATTCCCAAGAAAAACAGCTTGTTACGCTTATCGCTCTCTCCGGTTACCAATCCTGAGAAAAAGCAGCTTCTTGCGTTATTTACAGTCCACCTTATATAAGAAATATTTCATAAAATTATTCCGACGTTAATGATGTTTCTGAAAACTATGGATGAATTTATTTCTTGATACATAAAAATACTTACTGTCGTTTAAACTATTAATAACCAAGCAACAAGATGTCTGTTACCTTTATCTATGGACATACCTCGGCGATGGTGATCGATGAAAGGCCGAGAGAGCGGCAATGGTAAATCGAAGTCGACCGGAATTTTGTCGAACAATTTTTCTTACGACGCTTCGTGGAACACTTTGTATTTTCTGTAAAAATCAAGGGCAAATTCTACTGTTTACAAGGAATTTTAACTATTCATAATTCTAAAGGTAAAGACACGACGAATAACTCGCGACAAAACACAAAATCTCACTATGAAACGAAGCCAGGTCAGCGTTGACTAATCTCAAACGTCACTCGCGTGTTTATTCGGCGAGCGTAGGTTAGGTTAGATTCGTGAGAACGAGCAAATTCGCATAGCGCGACGATTCGCGTTAAGGCTGATTTTTAATTATGCAGTTGTATATACCGATTTATTTAACGATTTAATAAAGTTTTAATCAAATTTCCATGTGATTTTTATTGTGACATTTGAACGGATTTAACAATTGTGATGTTAAAAAGAATTGAACATCTTAATTGGTTTGCGCATGCGTGACTATATACGTAGCGTATGTGAGTCATTCCCGCAGCAACACGTAGTGTATTTCTTCATTCGACCTTTTGCAGTCGACAAGAAAACATGGTATCTAATATCAAAACATAATTATGCCATTTTTATTCAAATTATTTACAAAATAAAGATCATTATATAGTAAGAGAACATTAATACTTGTGAAAAATATCTTAATCGGCTGTAGTTTCAAATAGCATCGGTGTCCAATTAAATTTTAATTTAAGGTATTTATTAGTTTCCAAGATATTTAATAAAAAAATATCTTTGGTGTTACAGATTGAATTTTTTCTAAACTAAAATTTTGTATTATGGGTCCCCTCTTTATTTTAGCATAATAAAAAAGTATTTAAAATGGTACTTTATTTTCAAGTAAAGAAGTTATTACTTCAACCGATTAAAAAACGAAAAAGAAAAGTTATAAGCAATGCAATGAAAACATAACTTTTTATTTTAATGTATCTTATGAAATACATTGACTGTATTCAAAATTTGTTCCTATGATCCTGTCCAATATTACAGAACAGTAACTCAGTGACAATATTTCGTGTACTTCTATTTCCAAGTCGTGATATCCAAAATATGATTGCTTTCGTTCTAATCAATTTTAGAACTTTATTATATTACAACTCGAATTATAATTATATACACAAAGTTGTAAAATGAACAAATTACTTCATAAAATAGAGCTACAAAAAGAAATTAAAAGGATCAATATATAACAAAATGTATACATCAATATTATACACATCATAGTTTGTTCTTAATTCTCTTCCAGTCGAATTTCTGCTCTTGAACATTGATACTTTCCATTCGCAACGTTCTGTTGATATTCAAATAATTATATGAATCCGATTTTTCGATCGGTTTCCAAATCGTTTTGATTAAATCCGTGATCTTTGGTGTTGGATTCCTTTAAGAAAGAATTTATTACAAATTTACTTAAAGGAATAAATGTCATAAGAGATGAATTATATCAAAGCAAACTTACCCAGTTTTGGCAAAATCGGTCCACATTTGAGTTACAGTATCTATTATTTTAAACTTTTCAGTTCCAACTTTTGCAGGTTCGATTTTTATCCGTTTCCCCAGATGTGCATAGAACAAATACTGTAACTCTTCTGCATGTGTCACCCCTAAAAATTATCACGAGATGAGTTATATCTTTTTAATGTCTACCTTTATAATTTTATAATACACAAAATACAGAATAGAATTTCAAAAATCAATAATCATAAAATATAATAGCATGTAGAAATAAATGCATAATACTTGGCAGAGCAATATTGAAGAATATTCTCATTAACGATTCTGTAGCATCATAAGTAAATTTATAGAGATAAGTAGATTGACAGTTATTTTCCATCTGAACTTTAACAACTTCGTAGATTCCTTGAAGGAACATCATGTCGCTAATATAGTCTACGTATTCCTGCAGTGTTTTCTTGCAAATTAATTTGTCTCCAAAGTACAAGCGTTTCACGTCCGATGGGCTAATTCCATCTTTCTGTAAGCTTCTTATCATCTCTACAGGCAATACCAGATCGAAGTTTGTATTCAGGTATCGAAGATTCTCATCGTTCCCCATTTCTCGGAATACTGAAAACGTTTCTACTATGAGTTTTGAATTTTAAGAATTAACTCTCTACAATCGGAAGATAAATAAAAAAAATGGAATAGTATCGGAACTAATTGTTTCACTTAAATAATATGCCCTTTTAAAGCTATTCGTGTTGTTTATCGGATTTATAATGTTCCTTAAGGAAAGATATATGTGTGTAAAGGGTTAAATCAAGATAATAGGTTTAAAAAAATTAAGTAAAGTTTTGAAAATTACATTAAATTAAAATTAATAAAATTAGTTGAAAGAATTAACATGAAATATAAAATAAACTTACAATTCACGATCAAGGTTCCCTCATTATCATTGTGACCAATCAGGAAGGGTATATTAATCCCTTTCTGCATTAATATCCTTGGATGTTGAGGCAAGAATGGATTCGGCGATACGTCATCGATGCTTGGTCCAAATGTTCCAAACATCATATAAGGTTTCTGCAAAATACGTCGTACAAACAATGAATACCTGTTTCAACTTCAAATATTTTGTAACGAAGAATATTCATAAATTGATTTCCCGAATAATTTACCGATTCAAACATCCCATTGAATGTAAAATAACTTTTCAATTTAATATTAATTAGGTTATTTATTTTTTCACAAATATATTGTGAATTGTGTTTCCTCTGATACCTTGTGAGTAACGAACGATAATTTACATTGAAAAACAATATATTAGACACCGAGAAGCAATAAATATTGCTTAACGAAGCTTAATATAAGCATGGAATAATTTCATTGTGCTCCAGGAGTATTAATCCGGTTTCATTCTAATCAGCTTTGTACACGTAATTTTAATTATAACTAAGATACTGAATGTACTTACTTCTGAGTACAATACGAGAACAATTGTTGTTGATTGTGTTAAAAGATTACTAAAGAAGAAAAAAAGATAATACAGTAATCATGAAAATTGGAACAATGAATTAAAATATAAAGTGTTTGGTATAGAAAAGTAATGTGGTATAATAATAATGAATGCAGGATTAAATAAATTAGGTTTGTTAATACCTCTTCATTTTAATAAGGAAATCGACTTCAAAATATTTGTTCCAAGTTAAATTGTATTTTTGTAAGAATTGATACTCCTCAATGAAACTTCTTGCAGTTAAGGAAGGGTATCATGATAATCTGTTTGAAAGATTAGAAACTGTTGCAGAAATTGGAAGCGTATCGGTATTCCGAGCAGAACTTTCTGCGGCTCATATCATGGATCTTTGAATCGGTTCTGCAGTATTACCTTTTTACAAGAATAATTTTCTTCCCGAGTCCTGAGACTTACTGTTATGTCTATATTGAATCGTTCCAGGATTACTCAGTATCTCTCTGTTGCAACGTGGATTTAGCCTTTCTTACATTTTGTCAGACGCGATTTGCAGTAGTGTTTTTGTTTTCAACGGTTCAATTTCCCATTCTTTCTTCATCGAACTTTCCAAAATTTCGAAATTTCGTTTCTCATCGAGATGTACAGTCTTTCCTAAGGTTTACCTGTTCCCCGGTAAGTTCCAATTCGGTGATCACAAGCTTCTTCGCATCTATTGTCCTCAGAAAATTGATCACGGTCTGGGGATCGGTCGAATCCATTCCAAGTTTTGCGGCCAGCATATATGTGAACTTCTTTGGTTCCTCGGTTTGGATAGCCCAAGGATTAAATGCTACTCCGCTCTGCGCAATAGCTTTGTGGAATAAGCCTGTGGAAACCAAATCAAAAGTTATCGAGATATTTTCTAACACTTTTCTAGATCATAAGTTGTGTCTGTGCATCTCGTGTACGGGGAAAGTAACTATTTGTCAAGAAAAAGTCTAATCATATGGTTTTTATTCACGCAACACGATACGTGTTATAGTTCAGATTGTGTCATCAGCAATTTTAAGTGTAATACATTCACAATGAATTAACCCATTTTTGATATATATTAACAACCATTCCTGAATAGTTATTCATAATAATTACATTTCGGGTTAGCCAACGATTAGAATCCCTGCTTTGATGAAGCGTGAAGTTAAGATTGATGGAATCATTTCTACTGTAGTAGTTTTAGAAACAGCAATTTCAAACCTTATATAATATTACTGTGGATTATACATAGCGTCATCACAATTTTCCTCTTAAATATTTCATTACATTTTTCACTACACTTATGTTCAAACGATGACACTATTTCCAAGAAACTTAAGTTGAAATTCCTCTTTTGAATCTTCTTGTTATTAATGAGAGGAATGACAATTGACATAACATAATGACATAAATTGTAAAAAATATTGAAATGTTTATTCAGGTGCACCAGAATCAATGTTTAACACCGCACCTTGCGACATTGGAGATAGAGTTAGCAAGTGTACCGATGCAGCACCAGCGCTTTCACCAAAAATAGTGACATTGTTGGGATCTCCACCGAAACTGGAAATATTTTCCTGCACCCATCTCAAGGCCATAACTTGGTCCTTTAAACCTTGATTGCCTGTAGCGATTTCGCATTCCAAATTCATGAAACCTGGAACAAGAAACGAAATCACAGATAAAAGTTTGCAGCTGTTGAATAAAATTCTTAAGAAGATAAACACAAGTCGAATAATCCACCAACGTGGTCATTTGGTACACCGACAATTATTTGGCACTCGACGCTGTATATAAATAATAATAAGAACAAAATTATCGTCACGAAAACAAATAATATATACATATAATATAATTTCTATCTTATCAAAAGTCAACCGTATGTTGTTAGTTGTTAAAAAAAGGAAACAACTATAACGTGTCATTTTCAGTTAATAATTCTATTGTAGCTATATCAGTTTCTTACGATATATTTATTTTTTAATCTACCATGGCCAACGATAACATCAAAGTCTTCTGTCCTGCTATTATTCCAATTTATCGTTCCTCTGCGTCTGCGTGGAAAAAATATGGATAAAATCCGAGATAGACTACCTACCTAAAATACTGATCCTATAATTAAACGTGACCAAAACAATGTCCTTCCGCATAAGGTAATCGGGTCCATAAATATCATCCTTGCTAGACCCGTGTTTGAAAGCACCGCCATGAATCCACACCATCACCGCATGTTTCTCTTCATCTTCGATCGCTGTTGAGTACACATTCAGATAGAGGCAATCGTCGCTTCCAATCAGTTGATGCGTTATCACGTCAACCTGGGCACAGTTGTTGCCGAACTCCAAGGCGTTTCTTATGCCGGTCCATGGTTCCGGAGGTTCTGGATCCTGACAGGAAATAGAGAAAAAGTATTGGTCAAAATTTGATAAACCTTCGTATCGCGATGAAAAATGTATTTTAAATATGACGTTCAGGAAGGGACACAGGAGGCGTATTCCTTGTACGAAATCTTGTAGGAAAGTTTGTTTAAGAAAGTTCTTAGAGGGGTAGAAACAAGAGTAAATTCTTATCAAAGAAGTCGTGGAGGCTACAATACTGTTAGAGATAATCTGAAGAATTAATTGGCATATTAAAGTAGTTTGAATCTGAATTTACGTAATTTCTTCTCGTTATCACTGTTAGACTTTTTAATCTACTTTTCTGGTGGCGTTGCTTTTAATTTTGCGCGATTTAACCCAGTTCCGATTCTTAATTCAAGTAAAATTCGTTCTAAAACTTTTCGTCAAGATTTTATGGCTTTCTAAGATTTCGAGAAATCTCCTCTTCTTACGTGTGTTAACCTGTGTATCCTGATCCAATTAGCTAGCGTGGAAAGCTAAAAATGTGTAAAACGTCGATTTCTATCAAGCATGTAGAGTCTTTTGAATCCAGTGAGAGATTTGTAAGTGGAAGAAAGGAACATGCATTCGAATCCTGCAATTCACCTTTGACAAGGACAGTTTAGAACAGTTTAGAACAGTCGAAAATTTTCGAAAAATCGATTTCCTTTTTCGTTTTAAATAATAGTATGCAATCAGTAACACGCGAAAGTATGTTATCAAGCCTTTAAATCAAAATATTTTTGAATGTAAAATTGTAGAACTGTTTCGTGATCTTGAGTGGTATAACGCATCGACATATGCACATCAGCATGACGTGACAGTCTGTCAGTACACTAATTCTGAAGATCATAATATCAAAAAAGTCGAGACTCTATTATTACATATGTCTATTTTAATTTGCTTCGAATAATCTAAAATTGAATAGCCTTATTATGCGACACGCTCAACGAAAGAAGGATAAAAAATTGAATACATTACTTAAAAACTCTGAGAAACGTTGAATTATGCGCAAATAGATACTGTATATCAACTGCACAATAAACTAACGTTGCAAAATATGCATTCCTG